GCTCGGACTATTTTTTTGTAATGGATGAGTGCACTCGGGTAAAGGTTATATAAATAGGTATACAATCACTTTGTATCTCCAGCAACAAAACATTAACTTAGCTCAGACGGTAACATTAATTGTGTACCTATATCTACGACGCAAAACGCTAAGTTTGAACGTCGTTTAGACAAGGAATGAGGTCTAAACACACGGAGATACGATTATATAAAATAAGGTACCAAAATAGACCCCAGTGGAATTCAGGTACATTCATTTGCAGATATGCGAAATTGAGCAAAATTTGTGTATCTCAATACATCAGTGTATGCAAATCAGAAATAGATTAATAGCAAACATTTTAATATGTATTATCCAATTGGCGATTTCAATACACAATAGCAACTTTTCTTCTCTTTGCATAACAGATTTGGGTGTACGACCAATTTGAGATTTTGCCATTTATTGATCACCTTCTGAATTTGCTTGTGGTTGTGCTCTGGGAGTTTGTTGGTCTAGTTTCATTGTTTTTTCATCTTGCATAGTTTGGCGCTTGTAGGCTTTGGATTATATGTTAGGGGACTGTTCACAAGGACTAACTAGGTCAATTTGAGAGTTTAACTTCCACCCGACACAAACTAAGTCATATCGAGAATAACCTATGGTACAATTTACTTCAATAATTCGTTTTCGCTATTTAGAGGACACCGGAGGACTCGGCGAAAACCCACGAGGTTGGGCAGGCGATGCATGATTTGAATTTGTAGATGTCAAGTACAATGATGTTAAAGACAACAGATAGTGTAAAACTACTGTTATGTTCACACACACAAGTTACATTATATACCATAATACAAACATCCCCTCACGCCTTGTAGTTGATTTAAAGTTAGAGAAACTATTGACAGAACACGAGTTCACCTTTTTAAATCAACAAAGATGTAACTGATACGTTAGATAGACATGAACTGTCATGCTACGTCAGGTGTACAAGATTCTTTCAGAGGTAGAGACTCATATGTGTCCTCTGTGACTTTGGTACATTGTGGTTTGTCCATGGACTTGACCATATTATGATTTGCCACATCTAACAGTTTGCCACATTTCGCTAGAATCCGCTACGATTCTCTTTAGGACAGACTGCTAGCATGTTTTAAGATAGAGTTGGCATTACAGAAACTAAGATAATTCTTACGTCAGATTTCCAGTATGTTTATATATATAAATGACCTTACTAATTTATTCTTTATGTTGAAAATAATAGCTTAATGAACATACTTGAAAGTCTATTAGTAGCAGTACAATTCAATTTAATTTTAAAAATTTGGCAACATTATCAGTCAAGAATTAAGATGTGTACATGTATATCACATTATGATATTTTCGTAAGTTATGGTGCTGTTCCTAGTAGTAATATTATTCTGTGGGTAGGGGTGGATTTATCTGTGCATGACAACGTTTTACCACTTTGGTTAATTTCTTATGGCACGGATCACTGAACTTGGATATTGGTCCCATTTAAAAAGCTAGACTAAGCGTGCTAGCTACCATATAAGCCCTGCAAGAGTAGAAAGGAGAACCTGGCGATGTAATACGTCAGTAGTTTATTCGAACTATGATTTGATGACTCAGCTCTAGCAGATCCAATGGGAGGTGTAGCTAGAACTTTATTATGCTGATGACGCTGTCCACGAAAGTCATCTCCCCGCTCCCTAGATCCAGTTTCTTTGCTTCAATATACAGGATTCAATCAGTGCTTATGTAATCACAAAAATCAAAACGGTTAATTACCAGACCACTATCGTAGAGGTCTATTAAAGGAACGGTCTAGTTTCTGGACTAGATCTCAAATGACCCACTGCCAAATGCTATGTATTTTTAATTAATAATCTGAAGAATTTCCCACTAAATCAGTCCATAGGCAGAGGCCGCAAATGAAACGATTGCAAAATCATATTCTAATATACAGGAAGAAATTTCGACTCTTCTCGGTCTTTTCTACATCACTTTTATGGATGCAGCCGTTAAACTCTGAACTAGACGATGAACTCCGCGGTGAAAATGCACATCTTTGATGTATATTATAATTATCATTAAATCTGGAGGGGATTTTTAAATAACTACTTGAGTGGCATTTATTATCATACCATAATCATAAAGTAGATAACCGGTTTAGGTGACAAGCTAATATTTATTATACATGTTCTGGGGCATTCAGTATTCAGCGAGGCATGTCGTCTGCTATAGGGCAGTACAGCACAACTACATGGCGTTACTGACCCCTTTCCCAGGATAAAACTCATCAACATTGGATAATATTTTATGCTTGATCATTTTCTTACAAAACAAGTTAGTTTTTTTCATTTGAAGCTGGAATACTTTCTGTTAAAATATCCGAAGGATTATTAAGGGAATAATATACATTTAGTAATTCATACTTTTGTAAAGCTTTTTATGTAGAATATTACTTCAGTCATGCGTTATAATAGTAGGATATTACGTAGACTAAAGTGTCCATGTATCAAGATGAACACTAACTTCAACTTTAGCATTTGAGCTTTAAGTTTGGTCAAATATTTTCAACATTACTATACATAATGGACCCCTTCATCATAAGCTTAAATGTCATTTCTTTGATATATCCGCTCCATGTCATGTAAGCAAAGGTAACTAAGGAAGCTATAATATATCACGAATACCTGGTAAGGTTATATGGAAATATAATGACATATAAATGCATTATCATAAAGCATGCCCTTATAAAGTTATTGTTGGTATGAAAAACCGACGGGTAGACTAGTTGGGCGTTTCGGCTACCTATATAGGCATACATTCCCGATAGAAGTTTTAATTAAGAATAAAAATTGCGAAACCATAGTTAGGAAGCTCACACAATAGAATATGATAGCGAACCTGTGCGTCTATATAGTATTTCAGGCAATCACTGATTCGTCGTTTCCATGAATATTCGTATTTATTTCATGAAATATAAATTCTTGCCCTTGCACTACCCCCCCCCCCCCAACACACACACATAGAAAAAATAAAATAATATTTCGTGTAGGCTACTCGTGGCCTGTCATTACTTGGCCAATACCTAACCGAATTCGACATTCACAATATCTGCACATTCATAATATCTGTCATGTCTCTGGTGCATACTGTATTTGATGTCTGCGGCATTCGATATCTGCAGTATTTAATATCGGCAATATTCAATATCTGCAGTATTTGATGTCTAGATCATTCGATATCTACAGCTAACGATATCTCAGCAGTACATGTATTTGATTTCTGCAGCTTTTTATATCCGTAGTAATATTTGTAGCATTTTATATCTGAAGCAGTTGGCCCCATTTCGTTTACTGTAACTCTTGTTTGGCACATAAATTGTCATGTATCACGTAAATTTATTCATGATAGCACACCGGACATTTAACAAGTTGGTGAGAAATGGACGACATGGTGATAATTAATGTATTATAAACATTCAAGTAGATGACGATATGTATGTCAGACATACAAGAGACACGTTAATTTTGAGCGTCCAATGGGTAAATCTGTTGGTAGTAATTTCCCTTTATTTACTCTCCATCCATAATGTAAAATCCTCGACTTCTGAAATTAAGATCAAACCCATTGCCCCGCCCCCTCCTGTTCCTGTTTGAGCATCCAATGGGTGAATCCGCTGGTGGCATTTTCCCAGAATTTACTTTTATGTATTATTCTATGTATTATAAAAAATATCCCCATTTCCCTTTTTTGCATCGCTGGCCTATTCGCGATGAAATAATGTAACAATGCATTTCGAAATATTCCGAAATTCAACGAGATGTGTAAATTTGTATCAAAAAATTAGGTCAGGTCAATGTTTACTGCTACCTTTCGTATTCTGATCGTTGAGAAATCCACGACTTCAAAACTTCTAATCAAACCCGCCCCCTTTTATTGCATTGGAGACCCATTTGGCGATGAAATAAAACGAAACACTGCATTTCGAAATTGCCCGTAATCCAACGCAATGTGTAAATTTTTATCACAAAATTAGGTCAATTAAACGTTTAAATCTGACCCTTGATTGAACTCTTGTTATTAGTGGGAGGTATTGATGTTTAATAAAGCATGAGGACATGTTAGATGTTAAATGTTACTTTACTTGCCCCTTTTCTCTAAATATCAACACCACTCCTTCCCCGTTCTTCTTATATCACGTAAACCGTCCCAAAAGTTTTCATTAAACTAGAAGATACTACACAAGATGGTTGAAGGGAAACGCGTGTACGTCGTTTTAGTATGTATATAAAACATTTTTTCCAGTAAAATATATTCAGCCGGGGTTTCAATCTGGTTTTATTAGTGCTATTATTCGTTTATAGTTATGCTGAATAATGTAGTTGGAATATCGGAACAAACTAATGTGATCGTTACTCATTGGGAACTGTACTGGAAATTGTATTTACAAATCACCAGTTCCAGTTATCATGTAGATGCGTCCAAAGAGATAGAAGTTAATTGTCTTGTCAATAAACTTTGAAATAAAATGAACTAGGGTTCAACGCACTGATACAGACTGACAGGGGTACTTTTGGCCGGATAAGTGGTGTTTGCGCCTACTCTTCATCGAGTCCCATAATTCATGGGTTCTTTTCCATGCACGCCAATAAGTAGACGAGTGGACATCGGCTTTTATTCCATCCGACGTTTCCTTTCCAGTCCCTCCACTCGAGGCACTTTCTCGGCATCAAATCGTGATTGAACCCGGGACCTGCTGGTTAGTGAGGCAATGTTAGATGCACTGAGCAATTTTGTTTATATGTAGACCCTGGTTATTTTGAAGCAATACAGCTAACCAAAACTCTTAAGGTACACCAAGTGCAGAGTGACAGTATGACGGATTACGTGATTTTTAATTTTGTTAACAGGTAGTTGCTAAATTGTTAGGATGAAAAAAATCTGGATTGAGTATATAACGACTATTTAACTCCTGTCCTTAATATCAAAATCATTTTTTCTATTTACAGATTGAGGGGAAGTCAAGACAAAGACCTGCAGCCATTAAACCAACACCATCACCCAGGAATTCCCCCAGAGGCAGTCCTCACAATCAGAGCCTACAACACAGCCCGGCTTCTAGCTTGGCAAGTGTCACTCCTAGGAGTATGATGATGGAGACTCCACCGAGTGCTTGGACTACCCACTCACCTCATGCTCTAGACTACAGTGCAGCTAATATTAGCTATGGCAGTATGAAGTCATTTGATCACCCAAAGCCGATTCTACAAAGTTATAACGTGAGTACAATCTAGCTACTTCTTTCAGGAAATAGATTAGGAAAGGTTGATGAAGAGTTTGCTTTCAGGGTTGCACCGATTATAGCTTTTCGGGGACATATATATGTACATATGTACATATATGTACATTTACTGCAGTGGGGGGGGGGTATTCATTTTTTAGTCAATAAGGAAAATGGGCTTATGTCAACCCGCAGTCCTTATCTGCCTGTTAACTCGCTCCATTTTCAACATCGTCTGCTAAACCGCTTGTGGACTTCACAAGTGGAAGGTTTTCTTTCTTCATGTTAAGTTGATCATCTCTATAGGAGCTGATCGGAAGTGACTTTAAGCGGCACATTTAGGCATTGTTCCCCTAAATATCTTTGATGGTTTTCAACTTAATTCGGAAGGAATGTTTCCTGGGTCATGCATTTGGTGTTGTTCAAATATAGTGACTCGGTACCCATAGGGGTAGAGCTGGAATACCTTGAAGGGCAAATTTTGATCTTTTCTCCTAAACTTCTCCTAAACCAATTATGTTTTAACCAATTTTGACAGGCGTCGATTAGTTATTGATTATGCACATTTGTTCGAATGAAGAGGCACATTTAGACGGTTTCGTGCACCTTGACCTAAAGTGCTTGATAGATTTCAACCAAATTTGGCAATTATGTTGCTTGGGCAGTGCTTATTCAGATTTACTTCAATACTGTTCTCAGGTCCCACAAGGGCGGGGCATGGGACACCCTGAAGGACCTTTGGCAGATATGTTACTGTGGTGCTGATTATTTAGAGGAGTCTGTATGTGTAAAATAATTTGTATAAAAAAAAGTCGGAGGAATGGGAGAATGTATAAATTTTCTAATAAATAGAGAAACTACTAATATCGATAGTCTAGACTTACCAAAATCACAGATTGTGGATTAAGACCACTTGCGCTGTTTTATAAATGTTCCGTTTTGTGGACGAAGCTGAATAGGTCTTTAAACCACGACATTTTATTTCAGGATTTTGAGAACATGGGAATATTTGAAGCACAATCTTTCTTAGAACAAAGACATAAAGAGGAAGAGGAGAGGCTACAGAGATTTTTATTGGAGGAGAGAGAGAAAGAGATGCGACGATTGGATGAATCTATAGATATAGAGAAAGATAGAGCAGCGTCTGATCTACTGGGAAGTTTAGATCAAATGACTATACAAAATAACTCACGGAATCTGGTAAATATTAACTTTCTCTTTATTCGATGGGTTATTCCACAGCTGATAATAGTCTCAATTTGTCCAAGGTCTAAATAATACAGGCTAATGATCATCTGGCCCCCGAGTATTCAGTTACAGCACAGGACATTGCTCGTTGTCACTGTCAAACTCGGATATTTGATAAGTTCAATTAGTAAATATCTGTTTCATACTGTTGTATTTTAACATTAAGATATCTTTCCATTTATTTCAATATTGTGTTTGTTATCATACAGAGTTGAAATGGACCAACCTTATAATATTACACTGTATGTATAAAATTGGGTTAACAAAATGGTGGATATGATCACGATTTGAAAATTTCTTAAATGTGGACCAATGAGACGTTCAGATGAAAAATTGGCTTGGGGTTTCTTCCACTATTAGAAGTTCGGATGAACAACTGGCTTGGTTTTCCCTCAGGGGTTCCTTCCACTATTCGAAGGTTAATAGCAAGTCTTAAACGGTGTTAGGCATTGGCCGATCAATATAATTGATCCCCTCAACATAGGTATAGCCACATGAAGTTAACATCATCCGTTCAGAACCCATTTATAGGTATAATAGGTAAATGAATTAATTCGTTTTGGCTGCACCATCACCTTAAATAACATTACACTACCACCTTAAATAACATTACACTACCACTTTAAATAACATCCGTTCAGAACCCATTAATAGGTATAATAGGTAAATGAATTAATTCGTTTTGGCTGCACTGTCACTTTAAATAACATTACACTACCACCTTAAATAACATTACACTACCACTTTAAATAACATTACACTACCACTTTAAATAACATCCGTTCAGAACCCATTAATAGGTATAATAGGTAAATGAATTCGTTTTCTCTGCACTGTCACTTTAAATAACATTACACTATCACTTTAAATAACATCCGTTCAGAACCCATTAATAGGTATCGTTTTGGCTGCACTATCACGTTAAATAACACTGCATGTACTTTTATAGAGAAACTCGTAACATGTATCCACCAGACGAACTTAATTTATTCTGATATTTTTTTTCTTAGATGTATGAGAAAGAAAGAATTGAAGAACATTTTAAACGTTTACGAGATGAAAGATTGAAATCGGTAACTGATAAAACAGCATCAGAAGAAAAAGCCAGAAGTACCAAAATGTTAGACAGACATTGTCATGAAATGATGGCACTGATAGCAGAAAAGGTGAGATTTGTGAATAATCCCATCCCAGTTGATTAAATCTTCTTTTGGAGTATTAATCAAACATAGAAAACCAGTTACCCTAAAATAGGAATAACTGATATTAAAATGCTAAGTGGGCTGTTCGGGGGGTTCTGGTTAAGGTAAAGGTAAAGAACACAGAAAATACGGTGAAGCTGGGGTAATTATGCCTGCATTTTGGCCCTTATTAAACGGAAGGGAAAATGGTGAAAAAATTTAGAAACTGGTTCACTAAATAATTTTTTTTTAAGTTTCTTCATGTTTGTATCATATTTTAATTCCCGTTTTTGTATTTGTTAGGAACGTGAATCTAATCGAGATGTTTTACACGATCATTCCATGAAACCACCAATTTTACCACCAGAAACAAAGAAATCATCACTGTATAGAACACCAGCTCATTTTGAAACATTGGATAAACGAGCGGTTGATGTAAGCAGCTTATGTTAATTAATATTAGATAAACGGGCGGTTGGCGTAAGTAGCTTATGTTAAATATTAGATAAACGAGCGGTTGATGTAAGTAGCTTATGTTAAATATTAGATAAACGGGCGGTTGGCGTAAGTAGCTTATGTTAAATATTAGATAAACGAGCGGTTGACGTAAGTAGCTTATGTTAAATATTAGATTATCGAGTTGATGTTGATGACGTAATAAGCCATTTGATTAACCAGTGGTTGACTAATACGAAGCCTATGTTAAAACATTAGATTAACCAGTGGTTGACGTAAAAAACAGCTTATGTTAAAACATTATAAATGAAATGGGGTTTAACGTCCTACTGCTCTGCTCCTGACTGGGCTAATGACGACGGGCATACGCCATACAGTGTGCTATGACTATGAGCGAAATTTTGCCCGGGCAGCGGCACTATGACCTACTCATATCGAATTCCAACTGCCAAGGAATCTTTTACGTGCACGCCAATGTGTATACAGTATTTCGTCCCATCCGAACGACATATCGCAAATCTCAAGACAATAATCAATTGTAGGGTCAATATCAGTATGCCTGCAATTTAAAAAAAAAAGGGTCAATATAATTTGAGAATGTGTTTTTGACTACTTTACGTGATAATCGATACTATTACAGGGAGATAATCCAAAATATCTTCCTCTACTATCCACAGGGTTTATGTTATTATTGATGTTGGCCTTATCAAATAGACCTAACCCTACCCACAGGGTTTATGTTATTATTAATGTTGGCCTTATCAAATAGATCTAACCCTTCCCACAGGGTTTATGTTATTATTGATGTTGGCCTTATCAAATAGACCTAACCCTATCCCACAGGGTTTATGTTATTATTAATGTTGGCCTTATCAAATAGATCTAACCCTTCCTACAGGGTTTATGTTATTATTGATGTTGGCCTTATCAAATAGACCTAACACTACCCACAGGGTTTATGTTATTATTGATGTTGGCCGTATCAAATAGATCTAACCCTATCCACAGGGTTTATGTTATTATTGATGTTGATTGTATATTTATTTGTAGTTATCCCACCGAGATTACAATACACATACAGAATTAGTACGAGATTTAACCAGAGATTGTCATAATGAATTAGACAAGGTTCGGTAAGTAAAACATTTCAGCTCTAATATGACAGGACTCGACCAATTGTAAGAAAACCCCACATAATCCGGTATTATTTCAACAAATACTTATTAAAACTTCGAACATCTAATCCATCAGCCACGCACGTGGGTATCGATTTTGGTTTTAAATTATTTTACTATCTACGTTATTCTATTCAAAATCATTTTCGAAAGTTTAGATATCAGACTAACATTTGACACAAAGTTTGGGCAGAATCATTTTTTGGTATCGCTAACGTCGACAAAGTTGCCCGGGCCCTTAAACTCAGCAAAAACTATGAATTTCAAATAGTTTGGAGTCACACGAAAAACCCCCTACTTACTCGTATTTCCTTTCTTGGTCAACCATTACGAGACTTTTAGGACATATGTTTTGTACTTTATTGTCCAGGGCGATGGCAAGAAAATGACCCTGGTCGTTCCGATGGACCAAAAAAAGACTCCTAGGCAATGGGAATTCAAAGAACAGCAGGAAACGACGCTAGCTATCCGGCTAGTTACTTCCATAGCACAGTGCCTGCCCTGTTGGAGCGAAGAGTATGACTTAAACATCAATACATTTCACTTCAAAGATTGCAGTGTCATGTTCCTGCTGACAGTGATAATTTTGTTATCACAAATTTCTATTTACATATATTGTACCTATTTGATTTTTATTTTCAGTGTTATATTTAGATGGGTTATTGCTAAAGATTTAAATAAGAATTCAGTAACAGAGATAGTTCATCCTAATGCTACAACTACTTTATTAAAAGGTGTTAAAAGTGGCAAGGAGACCTATCACCATCTCTTTAAGAAACTGTGTTGGTAAGTAAAAACTACATTCACAAAGAACAGAAAGACTTCTATATATTTATAATACTTCGTGAAATAGTTTTTGTTGTTGTTTAAAACATCGTAGATGTCTCTTGAAATCTACCATTTTTTCTAGGACTCGTAATAATAAACAACGAATTAAGAGCGAAGTTGATTTCCAGAGAATTCGAATCTGGTTTCTCTCCTCCCCGTGTAAGTTACTCACATTGAAGTGTTTCTTGCTCTAGAATTGATCCAATCGAAGGGAGACAATTATAAACATGTGCGCATATAGAAACGACGCAGATCTACTACAACAAAAAATGCAGGTCCCCTGATTGGATTGTTTCATTGATTCCTTGGTTCAAATGAACTAATCGGATCCGGTACTTATACTGGCCGCCTTTTCGTATTTGTTTGAATGAGTATTATGAATAAAACATTTGTTTCTATCCATGTAAAACGATCTTCGTTTTTAATATTTCAGCTATGCTGGTATATACTGTGAAATCATACTGGGCTATTCTAAGGGTGCTGGATATAAACCAGGTATGAGGATGGAAGGGGCAACATTTAGAAACTCCTGGACCTCAGTAAATATCGACGGTAGCTGGCGATTGGTTAACTGCACATGGGCAGCAAGACACGTAACAGGTCATCGTGATGATCTTCCCCAGCTATTCCACAAATACGACGAGTTTTATTTCCTCACCGACCCTGAAGATTATATCTATCAACACTATCCAGATGATCCGGCTTGGCAGCTTTTAGAAATTCCACTTCCTTTCTCCGAGTTCCTGAACTTACCAGTGGTGAAGTCTCCTTTCTTTAACTACGGCTTGCGATTTTACTCCAACTACGGCGCCACTCTTAACACGAGCACTGGCATGGCGGAAATTCGATTGATTATGCCGAAGATTCTTGGATTTGGATCGCTTCTAGAGCCCTTGGACAAATCGGTCGGTGATGCGAGACAAATGGAAGGGAGGACTTTATTACGTTTGGTTAAAAACGACGCCATCTTTACTGTGTCCTTGCCTAGGCCGGGATATTATTATTTTTCCGTGTACACGGGTGACTATTGGCATTCAGAGTGCTTAGAGAGTGCGTGTAGTTTTCTGATCAACTGCACGCAAATATCCGGTTCCGCCTCTCCATCGTACCCTCCTGTCCCTTTCTATGGCGCCACCCCAGTCATGGAAAAGCTAGGCCTTACCACAGAAGGTGGCGCGGATCCGTTAATAGTATGTAACAGTGATTATCTAGAAATCAAATTTAAAACGATCCAAGACGTTAAAGTGACACATACGTTTCAATATTATGACGTCAATGATGAATCGGTGGAAGACATTGATAGGTATGTGTTCTTACGCTCACGGACTGATACCGCAGCGAACTATTTAGTGCGGTGCCCTAAAGAAGGATTCTACATTTTTTCGCTATTTGCTGCTGGTTCCGACAGCAAGGGAGAAACAACAAACTTAGAATGTGCATTTCGTTATTTGGTGATTTGCCAGGAACCGAGTCCCAGCACTGCAGCATTTCCAAAGACCTTTCATAAATGGCAGAAGTGTACTTTGCATGAGCCAATATCCGGCGATCTTATGACCAACAAACGTTATAACTTCAAACTTGATGTTCCGTCCGCAGTCGAAGTCTTTGTGGTTATAGGCGACTTCTGGAATCATCTGAAAAGAAAGGTCGGCTTCACGTGGGAGGGGAATATCATGACGTCAAAAGATGACGTAGCTAAAATTATTGCAAGATTTCAAGCTGGGCGAGATCAGTCGACGTTTCCACAATTACTTGAATATCAATTGGTGCAAGATGTTGAAACGGAAATATAAAAGAACAAATGTTTATTTTCATCTTTGATTACAAATACTTCTTGTTATTTTCCCTCCATATTTTCTCTGCCAGCTAAACATTCAAATACTTCAAATCTGGCTTGAAAACTTATATTATTAGACACAAGTGTATTATGCGCCATAAAGACGTGTTGTGGATATGGCGTTTTATAAATTGACATATTATTTTATTATTTTATAAACACACAAATTATCAAAGACACATCATTCTGATTTCTATTTGTTCCTAAATAGACCCACACCGTGAACAGCACCCCATATATCCTTGAATTAAATATAAATTATATCGGTAGCTCTTTAATCACTTGTTTCGGTTCTAAGCATTTAATACGGTTTTGGCTGGATGCCAAGGTCATTAATAATACTAAGTGCAGGAGAACCCCTCACATCCGCATACATAAACAGTCCTCCCCCTCCTCACACACACACACACACACTCGTACAACATATATTAAATTCCACAAATAGCCCTTCTTCATTAGCCACTGTTGGCACAGAAAAGTAGGACGCTAAACCTCATTTCTTTTCGTATTGTTAACTATTACAAATCTGTTCGAAGTTAGCCCTGTATTTTGCCAAATATGTCGACGACGTCCAACCCCTCTCAGGTTCCACAAGGAGAAGCATTAATTCCTGTTTTAATGAGTTAATGATTGATTAAATGTTAATTGTGACAAACACTATTCCATAAAAAGTTCGACATGAATATAACTTCGCTATCCCAAAAATTAAGGCAGCATTTATTATCAAAGATTGCTTGTAGTTAGTTACCTTGTCTCATTATATTTATTTCTCTATTAGATAGTTAGTAAATACGCTTATAGATTATCTTAGACAGATTGATTTGAAATAGACACCTTTGTACAAAATGAGCTGCAATGTTTACCCGTATGGACGTGTAGCTTTATTTAAAATAGTAAACTTCGAAACATTGTTCCATGTTAAAACGATGTAATTGATTTAATCAGTTATTGTCTGACCTTAGACGTTTTTGCAAGGAACTGTGTTATAATCCCGCAAAGTGTACAAATTGTAAAAATTCTTGCCATTTTATATTCGTACTTCAGTTCGCCATTATATATTAATATGATTTTCGTACTTCAGATCGCCATTATATAATATTATCATTTTCGTACTTCAGATCGCCATTATATAGTATAAATATTTTCGTACTTTATTTCGCCATTATATAATATTATTTTCGTAATTCAGTTCGCCATTATATAATATTATAATTTTCGTACTGTAGTTCGACATTATACAATATTATTATTTTCGTACTAAGTTCGACATTATAACATATTATTGTTTTCGTACTACAGTTCGACATTATGCAATATTATTATTTTCGTACTTCAGTTGGATATAATACAATAATATTATTATTTTTTTCGTACTGGAGTTCGACATTATATAATACTATCATGAAATGTATGTAGAACTTTATTTATTTATATATAAAATTGCTTTTATGTATATACTTGATATCAATCAGATTAGAATACAAAACTAACTTTCGTTTCCTTTTTTATACCTTCAACAACATTTGAACGTTAAAAAACGAAACGAATTACGACCCGAGTTTTAATCAAATTAAATTGATTTGATATAATACATTATATTATAGTAATATTTTTAATATAATAATTTTATTCATCATAATATCTGGTTTTTAATTCAATGCTTGTATTGTATGTTATTTATTACGTGCGTGCAATAAAACATCTATTGCAAAAATGAATAATTGTTGTCTGTTATAGACAAAGAAGGGGTTTAGACCATTCGACCTGCCAACCCTAGTGTCTGTTATAAAGAGAGTTAAACCACTCGATCACCCAACCCATCTGTCTGTTATAAAGAGAGATAGGGTTTAGACCATTCGACCTCCAACCCTACTGTCTGTTATAAAGCGAGAGTAGGGGCTTAGACCACTCGACTACTCAACCCTACTGTCTGTTATAGTGAAAGATGAAATTTAGACCACTCGACTACCCACCCCTACTGTCTGTTATAAAAACACGAAGATTGTTAGCTATCTGAGCGCTCAGTCTCCTGCTGCCCTGACGAAATGTACCTCATAGTACATCGATATACATTTCTGCATTAGCCCTATTGGTCTGTATACAAATGCAATGAAATGAAATGGGGTTTAACGTCCTACTGTTCTGCTCCGATTGGGCTAATGAAGACGGGCATACGCCATACTTGGTGCTATGAGGGGAAATTTTGCCCGGGGCAGCGGCACTATGGCCTACTCTTATATCAAATTCCAGCTGCCAAAGGATCTTTTACGTGCACGTCAATGGATACATTGGACTTCGGCTTTCCGTCCCATTCAAACGACTAGACAGCTGTCCTTGTCAGGCCCTCTGTCCTGCACCACTGACAAGGGGAATGGTCCGTATACCTTTCTGCATTAGCCCTATTGGTGCAGGAAAACAAGATGTTAAGTCCCATTTCATTTCATTTCACTGTAAATAATAAATAATGAAAGTACCATCAAATCAAAGGCAGTATAGCGTCCACTAGAAATATAGGTAGGTTAATTACAATTTCATTTCATTCATTCATTTCCTTATGTTTACACTAAAATGTAATCTAACCCAATCCTTTCCCCACGATCATCTGTGAGAGTTCTATTTATATCAAACAACCCTATTCCAAATGATTATACCCCTTGAACGTTTCAAAATCACTTCATATGCCTTCCCATAATTGACCAGAATACGCAGATTTGTACACAAATAAAAGGAATTTTGTTAGTCACGAAGTTCACGTGTGTCATATAAATCAAGAACTAAAACGAATAAACATTAAAAAGACAACTGCATTTTGTGAGAAAATAAAATATTTTATTTTTTAAAAATAAGATCAAGTACAAAAGACATAAAAAAATGTATTATGGACATGTAAAAAAATAATATTTTAAACAGAAGAATTCTTTCTAAATTTCATTAAGACGACATATTTCTTTTAAATAATTACGGGTTTGATTACATACCACGAAAACGAGCATTTGATGCTGAATAACTCTGTATAGTAGTAGTAGCAGTAAAATGAATGTCATGTTCTAGGTGATTACAGGAAGGATGTCATGCTAATAAATTCTGGGTTACATTGCGTAACCGAAAGAGGACGATGTAGTTGCACCGGCATATTGTCGGCGTCGCTACTGTTTATTCCTTTTGAACATACGTACTTGTGTAAAAACAATAGGGATTCATATCCCCGGGATATTTGGATAAAAACCACTTCTCCATTCCTTCAAAAACTGATTCAAAAATCTGTGATTTCTGTTCCTCGCTTCGCTCGCTACCCAGTGCTCCACAGAACGTATTATAGGCAGGTATTTTTAAATATTTTGTCATACCTCGAGCAAAACTGTCCCAGTCATTGCTACCTGTGGATTATAAATGAAGCCAATAACAATCAACACACCTGTTATTTACCAAGATGAGGGACCCGTGGTGGGTCTCTGAGTAAGACATTGGCTGGCTAACGTCGAGGTCCTGTGTTCGATCCCGGTGTTGATCGAGAATATTCATCGGAAGGTTCAGGCGTGGTCCCCCCTTGTCAGTGATGCAGGACATAGGGACAAAGTATAGTCTTTCGGATAGGACAAACAACCGAGGTACCAGGTACACACTGGTGTGTATGTAAAATATACGCCAGCCGTCATTAGCCCGGTCTATAAATCTATCTATCAACGACAAGTGGATGTGGATCTTTTCCTGCCCGTTTTCCACGGGAATTGTGCATCCCTACCCTCACATACAACCGTTTATGTCCATTCTACTAACTAGAAGGGTCTCAAAATGTGCATACGATCTAAATTCCATATCCACTAGTGGAGAAACTTCCTTGCGCTTCTGAAAAATTCATTCTCGTAATACGTCCAAATTGAAGAGAAAATGAAAGGGCGGGGAGTGTTAACTTTTAAATGTGATGCCATTCAACAATTTTTGCCAGATACATTTTCCAACGATCTAGACAGATTTCTTCTCTGCGCTGAAGTACATTATGTAGCTTGAGCCGTTTCATGTTTAACACAAATATGAAGTGATACCTTACAGAAATGTTACATAGTTTTGTCGCTTTTCTTGACAACCTGCTTTTCAGTCAATTGTGTATTGGGGTAGCTGTTATTTTTGAGAAGGACTTGTAAACTTTATTTCCAGTAGATCAGTGATTCTCAACCAGTGTGCCGCGCCGCGAAATCTTACTAAGAAAATGCGAAAAACCAATTTATCCCAATCCAGTATTCGCTGGTGTCTACTGAGAAGTTCAGAGCCGTGATTTTCTTTTAGTTTGAGTCATTCTATGTGTTTATGATTAGTCTTTAACTACGGTTGTATGTCATCTTACTTGCCATGTTTTTATTTTGCAAAATTCAAATATTTTTCATACATATTTTTGTATGTGTTCCATGGTGAGCCGTTGGCAAAAAAGTTTGGGAACCACTGCAATAGTTTATGAACAGAATCTCAGTGTGCTACTAACCACGAGCCATCCCCACTCCTACTAAGTTCCACCAAATAATACCATATCCCCTCCTCGCCCACAAGTATGCCCACACAACGCCAAGTCTGCCAACGGTATACTGAACAAACTTATTGCTTGATTACGAGAATTGGAAATTCATATAAGCGATTTGCAAACCTCAGGATGAAGATTAGTACATTTACCTTGCTCTAACTTTTGCTTCCATTCTGTGACATAAAAACAAGGAATCGCGTCCGATTTAACTTTCACTTTAAGACCCATATTCATTAACTCTTTGGAATCGTTGATAGGTTGTTTTAGCTCACATGGGCTTCTAAAGCAGATAGCGATTGTACCTTTATCTAAGTCAGACTATGGAAGATAAGTTAAAAGAAGTAACAGGTTTTACTCAAAACTATACAAAACAAAACCAGCGGCTGCCAGGCAGGATACGCCCATATTTTGCAGAGATGGACAGAGAACAAGCTAAAATAAAAACGATTTTTTGTACAATCAGGGGCCATAATCCAGAAAGTTATCGTCTCAAATGCACAAATATCAAAAGGGACTAAGATTTTTGAAATATAAAGATATGTTTTAAATTTCATAAAATTGGATAAAAATTGTGACCTCCAGAGGATCCATAACCTTTGAATTACATACTTATATACAATTTGCATACAAAGAGCGGTAATTTTGTCGGGCAGTTTCATTTCGATTTTCCCGAAATTCCAATTCAACCTTCGTTATGGTGGAATGGTAATCTAAACACTTTTTAAAATCGGAAAAAAATTATGACCTCTAGAGAATCCACAAGCTAAAAATGCGATTTTTGGACCAATCAGAGGCCATAATCCAGGAAGTTATGATCCGATATGCGCGAATATAGACAGGAACCATGATCTTTGGGTTATAAACATGCATTTTAAGTTTCATCAAAATCGGATTAAAATTGTGCCATCTACAGGGTCCACAACCTTGATTTACCATATTTTTACACTATTCGCGTACAAGCGGCGGCCATTTTGTCCGGCAGTTTTGGTCACATTTTCACGAAATTGGAACTCAACCTTAATTACAGTGTAACGGTGATATACAAAAACGTTTTTTTTAAAAATCGGATCAAAATTGTGACCTCTAGAGTGTCCACAAGCTAAAAACGTGACTCTTCGTACACCCAGGGCCATAATCCATGAAGTTACAGTCCGATACATGCCAATATCGCAAGGAACCGAGATCTTAGGGAGATAAACCTATATGTCAAGTTTCGTTGAAATCGGATAAAAATTGTTACTTGTAGAGTTCCACAAACAAATTGTGGACAGACGTCCGGACGGACGGACAAACAGGGGCGACGGCATAATACGTCAACACGAAAATGTGGGCGTATAAAAAGCGAACTCACGGGAAGGATGAGAGAGAGAGAGTGAAAAAGAGAGAGAGATGATTCAATTTTATTTCTATAATGCGCTTGTGCAGTGGGAGGAAACTTGGGGAACCTTAGAAACGCAAGTGGTTGGACAGGCGACCCTATTCCCATCTAGGTATTGTGTGCCACTTGCATTCAAATTTTGCGATCCGGAAAAATTCAGAATATCAATATATCTGTCACAAGTCCAAAATTGAAAGCTAATACAGATATTGAGATCATGTTATACACAGAGAGAAAAAAGTATCACAGCATCCGAATGTTTATGCGCTCAAGAGAAATTTATTACATAAATAAATATATGCGAAAATGAAATGAAAGAAAATTTTGACGTATTTTGACTTCGTTACATAGCAATGAAAGCTGTCAAACACTCGTGTCATGAAAAGCATTTTTGTTAAATCAGCCATTGTCTTGATAGGACAGTTTTAAAATCTCGGTGGTTCACTGTTTGTACTTAACCAGATATTTCACTGTTTTGACGACCCCATTGACAACTTGAACATGAAATGAAATAAACTGAACTGGATGATTGCCTATTGACCAGTACCAGCCATAGTTTCCGCCTCTATTTTTGTACTAGACTGATATGACATTAAATCAACTGTTTAAACTTCAGTTTTTGCTTTGCTGGTTCAGTGTTACCTTGAGGCAGTTCAGGAAGATTGAATACCTTTCAGAACATAAAATAGGTAACATCAGCAGCACTATATCCTAATACGGGTGTTGTGATATCTTTTTTTTGCTTTGTATGTATATAACATACAATTACCTTTGTAATAACACCACGATCAAATAAATCGTTCCAAATTTTACCAACTTCATTCAATCCATCCTGAAAAGCTATACAGACTGGTTCTCCCGGAGTAGCATCTCTTCCCCCTAGAGTTGAGAAGACACCCAAACCACCTACAATAAAGTAGATATTATTGCAAGGCTGTGCTTCACTATTCACGGGTTCCTGATTCTGTCCCGTTCGCAGCATAGTTGTCGGTCAGCGTGCACGTAAAAAAATCCCTGATAGAATTCGACGGATACGCAACTGTCCGGGTAAAATTGCCCTCACAGCACACTGCATGACGAACACTAAATCCCCGATAATAGTTAAAGCCATTTGTATTTTTCGGAAAATATCAAAATTTCTAAATTAAATGTAAATAATCACCCGACTTGGATTCAATCGGATTTGTTAATACTGAACTGAATTGAACCGTTTTTGGACTGGTCGAAATTCACCGTATTGTTGTTTTCAATATTGGCCCATTATTTTACAGAAATGGATTGATTTCTGATAGCATGGGTTAATATTAGTATTGGGTGATCAAGGGGGGTAACTGGAACATTGTTGCAAGTTTTCCACAAATTAATTGAATATTTTGAAGTACTCTCTTACTTTTTCACAATAATGAGGTAGTATGTGGTGGCATTTGGTAGTATTTAGTTAGTATTTGGTCTTTTTTCCATAAAAACAGCTCCTTGCATAGAGAATATTCGCTTTAAGCTAATGTGTCATCCATTGAAAATGCTAATGGTTAAAGTTCAGATGATCCGAGAAACAGACAGTTGAAAAGTTACAGCACTGGATGTTCTAACACTTAGACGAGTGGGACAACTTAAATAAAGACAAATACCAACCTGGTTTCAATTCTTTGGTTCTATTTTTGAGGAAGAGTGTCCAGTCATCGGCTGCTAGTTTGGATGCGGCGTCAAGAGTATAATTAGGATACACCGGTCTAAAATAAAAGATGAGATTATGTAAACCAAATACGGTACCAGTTACAGCCTAGATTGTTGTGGACCCATTAAAGTAACACTTCTCAAATAGTTGGCGTGCACACAAAAGAAACCTTGAATCTTAGAATTCAATGAAGAATAACCAAATGTCCGTCTTCATTAGCCCGATTAATGTGAAAAAGCAGGAAGTTAAACTCCATTTCACCGCAGCACCCCCCCCCCTTACTCCCCTGATTACATGTTCCCATCTTCATGCAACTAAGAAACTACGAGGCCACATAAATGTATATGCACTTTTCTTGTTGAGAGAGATGGGGATTAATGTCCACTCGACACAAACTATGTCATTTCTTGACTATCATATGGTTTAAATTAATTTCAATAATTCGATTGCACGTAGGGGTCTTTATCTGTGGGCGGGAACCGGGGTACTCGGGGAAAACCCACGAGGTTGGACCCTAGACCTTATGACGTACAAGCGGAGACTCGAAATCAAGCCGCGTGATGCAATGCCGGTCCATGCAATACCGCGACATTTATTTATTTGAGTTTTATTTATTTATTTGTTATTCAGAGAGCCACGGTGGCTCAGTGAGTAAGACTTTGACTCGCCTACCTGGGCATGGTTCGCCCGTTATTTATTTATTTAAATTTTATTTTACTTTATTTATAACTTTATTTAATTTTACTTTATTTATAACTTTATTTAATTTTACTTTATCTATTTTTTTATTTATTTATCTATTTTGGAGGTCACGGAGGCTCATTGAGTAGGGCATTAGCTCGCCTGGGGGTCCCGTGTTCGATCCCTGCGAGCATTTCAAGGATATTAGATCGAATTTTTACCGTTGTCAGTCATTACATCACATGTTTGCCCAACCGGGTTTATATGGTAAAGTGTTAGACTTTTTAAAAGAGACAGGATTTTATCATAAATTTTAATTGTATATATAAATATAATTTCATTTTTGTATTTAATATTTATATGCATAAAAGTTGTATTTTATTTTTAATTTTTACTAACTGTGATATTGTTTTTTTATGCATATGTTTTTCTGTGATATAATTTAGCCTGTCTCGTAATATTCACCATATGTTTGGCGCAATATAGCCCGATTGGAGCTGACGTGTCATAAAACCTCATTTCATTTCATTTCTATCCCTGCGTTGGCCGAGAAAATTCATCGGGATTTTCCGGCCTGGTTCTCCCTTGTCAGTGATGTAGGACAGGGGTTTGGCAAGGGGCAACGCGAAGTCGTTCGGGTGGCATGCACATAATAGAGCTATTGGCAGTTATAATATTCTAAATAAGAGTAGGCCATAGCGCTGCTTTCCGGGTAAAATTTCCTTGATAGCACACTGCATGGCGTATGTCCGTTTTCATTAACCCAGTCGCAACAGTAGGACGTTAAACCACATTTTATGTCATTTATTTATTCATTTTGTAAGCTAATCTTTGTACGTATTGAATGCCTTAATTACATGGAAATGAATTTACATAAGCTTCGGCTTATTTTCAAATGGGGTTTAACGTCCTATTTTTCTGCACCGACACCGAATGTTGTTTAATTGTAGGGCAGCTGACTTACTTCGATAGCCATTGGGTTGCTGTAAAAGAGAGTGCTAGATCCACAGAATTGGAAGGAAAACATTGTTCGTAAAAACTGGTTCTTGCAGATGTGACATAAACATTTTCATGATCCAAAAGATATGATCTGGCATTAGGTATATTTCCTGGAATAGAAAACAAGACCATATTTAATCCCAATTCATATAAACTTGATCATATCCAGAAGACATGTTCGAGGATTGGGTATAATACTTAGAAAACAAATTACAAATTTAATTTTATACGAATTCAATTTTTTACAAATTTAATCTTATATAAATTTACTTTTATACAAATATAATTAGATACAATTCACTTTGGCAAATTTAATTCTATAGAAATCTAACCTTAAGGAATAGAGATTACAAATTTATTACACAAATTATAAATCTAAATTTAAGGCACAATTATAAATCTAAATGTAAGGCACAATAAGTATAATAGTAAGGCCTGGATGCCAAGCATACACAAATACAAATAAGACAAACTCGCGAACAAGATATAAACCATACACATATGATGTGTGTACAAGCTCTATTGTCCGAGGGTATATAATGAGGAGTTTGCTTACAGTAAGACAGACGACTAGAGAGACGACCAGAGACGAGCGGAGAGGAGAGACGCAGACGAGAGAAAAGCATAAACCGGCGGATGGACTCGCCCGAGTTCCGCCGCTTTTGGCAGAGGGCCGGACTGCTGGATTTAATATATGATATGTTCCTGTCGTAGTCTAGTTTCCGATGTAGCTTAGTTCATGGTGTATCTATGTAACTGTTTGATATTCTGTTCCGATGTAAATAAATCATATATTTCCTAAACTGATCTACTGTTATCACAAAGATAGTGTTACACACTAAGCGCAAATGCGACCACGACCGCGAAAGCTTAGATCGCATTTCATTGATTTAACTACTAGTCGTAAATATTAATAGGAACGCGAACGTGGTAGGAATTTCCTTCGCGCCGAGATTGCCTCCAGAGCCAGTTTTGGGGAATAATTCGAACGAACGACTTTCATTAGCCAACTAGAGTGTAAAATCAAAATGCATACATGGCCCAATCGTCTATGCACTAATCACGTATCACCGCTCATAGCACGAACTTTGATTCGTAGGGAAAGTTGTAGTGGAAACTAGTTGCGTTCGCACTCAGTTTAAATTGTAACCGCAGTTATCCAGACTAAATTGGGATCCACGGCAGATCATCAGTGGATGTTGTGAAAAATCGCGTTGTCGTTACCAGGTGGACATGTACGTCAAAAACGACATCGTAGTTGAAATTCGACAGAGTAGACGGCAACACAGCTGTCCGAAAAATAACTCCCTGATGGCAGACTACACGGAATCTCCATTATCCCAGCTGCAGAAAAACAGTATGGCAAACCCACTTCATTTCATCTATTTTCCTTCTAGCTGGTGATCAAAAGTAAAATGACCTTATGTCACCAAATTCTACACGCCTCTTTATCTATACTTTATATCGTAATATCACCCACGTGAAGATTAAATAAACAAATAAATAACATTTGCCCCCCAAAATTTGGAAAAATATAGCTTCACGAAACTTTATTCATCGCACAGAAGAAGGATGTAATATACGGTATACTAATAAAAACATGGACAACCTTCAATATATAAAAAATCTGTTATCTGATCCGGGATGTTTTTTTGTATTCTAGTTTTAATTGAAACCCTAATGCAGTAGAAATGAAAAGGTGTTTAACATCCTACTTTTCGTTAACAACCTAGTGCAGTAGAACATGGATATTGTTTTACGGGCGTAGAAGGCAAATCATTAACTGAATGTTCCATATTTTGTGGAATGTGGTACCACACAAGAGTGTAAAGAAGTCTGCAAGACATTTTTGAAAGCATTGACTTTCATTCTATGTCCAATATCTTGTGGAACTCGAAAAGTTTGTGGGATGTGGAACCGTTGTGGTAAAGAACACCACAGATCAACAACACTCTATCAAAATCTTGTGGAATGTGGTACCACACAAATGGGTAAAGGGGGTCTGAGAAAAGAATTTTTAAACATTTTGTTTCTGTGTTCAATATCTCGTTGAACTCTTGTTGCGAAAAACACCACACAATAGGATTTTGTAGAATATATTTTCCCGAAATTTTACAAGATGATAGGATAACCTATTAATGTTCCAGCAAAAAAAAAAAAAGAAAAATAGAAAATGTTTTATAAATTTTTCATGGTCCCACTTTTCCGAACGTCTCCAAACCATGCAATGTCAAGTTATATTTGCAAAGTCCAAGTACTGTAAGAATTAATGTTTCTTTATAAACTTTGAGTTTTATTGACATTTAGAATCGATAGTAGTTTATCTTCTTGTCATAACCATATGGAGGAACGGTTACTCGGTTAGGCGCTGGCCCCGTAACGGGGTTCGATCCAGATATTTTCAGCTTGCTTCCCGATTCTCATAGATGCACGATGAAAGATCTTACATTGAAAATCGCCTAGTCGTTAGGATGGGACGAAAACCCGTGTTCCCATATACAAGTAAACAGAACAGAAACCTTGAACACCATTTCATGTCGTTTTCATTTCATTATAATATACTTACTAATTATATCAGTCATAAATTCCATTGAAATCGAGCCATCGGCGGCACCATATTCTGCTACAGTAAATGGTTCATTTTCTAGATGAGGTTTGCTAATTAGATTTTCTGAAATATTTAGTAGAAATGAAGTAATAGCATTATTACCAAGACCTTATAGATTAATAATAAAAGTAGACCACATATTGATAGCTACGTGAACGATTGAACAGGTACTATGCCTCCCGCAGGACGTAAATTATCTATTTTTGAACTATAATAAAAAAAACTGCCAGCTCTTTATCTGCGGGGTTTTTCGATATTTTTGCATGAAAATAAACATTTGATATTCACGATGTTATGTTTTCTCAGAAATCTACGCGTTTAAAAACAATCACAAACTAACCAACTATTTTGAGTATCTCGTCTTTAGCGTTACCACAAAACGTTTGATTTCCTCTCTGAACGTCGCCGTATGATGTCCCCTGTCCACCTGGATTCATCACATTGTAGGACGACCATCTGGACATCAATTTCAAGGGAGTCCGCAATCTAAATAAACATTTACACCAAATTAAAAGTCTTAGAATAACGGCGTGGATCGGTTCAAGTATAGATGTTGTACCCTGTCTAAATCAGCTGTAGGTGTCGTGTGTACAAATATATCCATATAAATGGCACACAAGGGGATATTTATCTTTAAAATTGAAAAAAAGTAGTCTGTACAACCGGTCATGTAACATTGCCAAGCATATCCGGACACCAAAATCACAAGTTTCGTAGTGCCAAATTGTATTAATATTTACCTAAACAAATCGATACATCTACATACAGACATCATCATCATTTCTTAGCTAAACACCAGAAATCTATTCTTCTGAAAGAAAGATAGCAGATCGTGAATTATTTTTAAGCTCCTGGTTTATATTATGTTATTGTTGTTTATAACAAATTTAACTTGCAATACATAATATTATGGACATATGAAGAAGTAATAAAAGAGGGTACATATACATAATCGCTAATGTCATTGCCAACCATCTTGTCCTCAAATGTTTAATAGTCATTTTCATCGTTACCATTATCCTTTTTATAACCCTGATGATTGTCAGAATCATTATTGATGTACACAAGAAGAAATTATTGCAGAACTACCGTCGCCGTATTATGAACTAAATCGTTCTGTAAAAAAGAATCGTACTTAGTTTTGTTGTGTAATGTGAGGATGGACTAGATGGAACTAGCTTACCTTTGTCGTGTAATGCGACAATGGACGAGCACTTAATCGTTCTGCAAAAAAAACAAAAACCCCCCCCCAAAAAACCTTTCTCACCGTCGTCGAAACAGTGGAGAAGACGAGCATTTAATCGTTCTTCAACAAAAGAAAACAAACTTACTTGCCTTGGTCGTGTAATACGCTATGATGGACGCGGTGGAGAACACAAGAACTTAATCGGTCTTCGAACTATTGTGTTGGGATGGCTACCAAAACAATGAAGGCTATTTATTTGAGTTCCATTACATCCAGTAGTCATTTACCTCGATGAGCGTTGAACACATATGCATATTTATGACATTAAAGTTATTTATAGATTTTAGGGCCTGATATCCGGGACGACTCACTGAACTGTTTATATTAAACAGTGCAATTTAACCTCGTTTCGGCTCAAAATGCAGGGCTATGCCGTTTTGTAATTTAGATGAAAAGGGACAGCCAGGCCCGTAGCTATACCCAAATTGTTGACTGGGGGGGGGGGGGCAAAGGCGGCGCAGATGTACCTACACTTGACGGTCCACGGCGAATGGTACCGTGGATACGCATCCCTTCGGCGAAGGGTCTAGGGTGCTCTCCCCCAAGAACATTTTGGAAAACAGGGTTTGCACCTGAAAATAACGGAGAATTTCAATTTTGAGGCTGAATTTCCGATATTGGTGTAATATGATATTTTGATATGAACATTATAAAAATTTGTAGGAATGAATAAGACTTTAACATGCCTAATTAGAGTGCGATTTGTTTGAATTTTGAAGATTATCACGCAGTTTTGGGCGCCCAATTCATTCGTAGGCGCCTAACCAATCTCCCTCGGCATTATGGGCGCCCCGCCAATTAATTTATGGGCGCCTATGATCAAGTCATGGGCGCCCAACCAATGTTACTCGGCACTATGCATTATGGGCGGCCCAAAAATCATATATTGTCATTATAAGGCGCCCCACCAACCATGTCATTATGGGCGCCCCTCCGGGATAAGGCACCCCACAGATCAAGTCGTTTTGGGCGCACCATAAATCAAGTTGCGGTGTTAATCGTGTGAGTCATTATGGGGCGCCTCACCATTTGGGGGCGCCTCGCCAATCATGTCGTTATATATGAGGCGCCCCCAAATGGTGAGGCGCCCCATAAAACCAAGTGACATTGTTTTGGCGCCCCGCCAATCTCGTCGTGGGCGCCCAATCAATGTCACTCGGCTTTATGTGGCGCCCATACTGATATAGGCACGTTGGTCGTTGGCTTCGTATTGCGTCCAATGGAAAGGACACCCGCCCATTGGGGAGGCCGACTTTTTCCCCAATGGGCCATCACCATAGAGCTAACTTTGTATAAATGGCGGCCCCGTAAACATAAGTTCAGGGATGCAAAGTTTAGTCATCTATTGCTTGGCCAACTCGGACCTACTGGTTAGTGAGTCACATCATTACTCACCGAGCCACCGTGGCTCTTGAAAATTCAACTAACTTGATAATGTTTGTATGTGCATGCGTTTGTGTTGTACTTGGAGCGTATATTGTTGTCAGTCCTGTCAGTCGGCTGTCCTCCCGGTGTCCACTCTACGAAACTACGCTTATTGTTGAAACTTAACGAACAACGCTATCCCTCCCGTTTAAGTGATCAAAATTCAACGAAACTTGGCAGTCGTATATAAGACATCAGTCATAAATTTTATATTTATTGTACAGGTATTGATTACGGCAATGCAAATTTGGTTCCGGCAATGCAAATTGAAAGAAATATATCTAACATTCCATATGTATAGTTAACTCATGCGTTTGAAATAAACGAATTGGTCGTTTTGGAGTGATATAAAACCTACACAAAAAGGCCCGACAGTTCGTCTTCCGGTGATTCGTCAGTTACAAATACGCTACATATAGACTGTGTTACTGTCCTTAAATAGTTAGTGGTCTCTAATCTAATCCTTTAGTGGCATTTAGCAATTGGAAACATAACAAAACTGTACAGTTATATGGGACAACAATCACTGGTTTATTATACACAAGCACGACATTTCATTGTGCTTGATAACGATAAGAGAATACTTATCGAAACGTCGTGCTTGTGTATAATAAACCAGTGATTGTTGTCCCATATAACTGTACAGTTTAGTTAGTGGTCTCATTCCCTTTTGTTTGTAAGAGTTAACAGGAGTGCCTGGTATGTCCTAGACTCACATTTGTTGTATCATGGGGAGAACTTATTGTTAACTTTATATTATATAGTTTATGTGTGGTTTTTATTGCATAGCCAGCCACATACCCCAGAATTTATGTGTATATAATTTATGCAAACTAATCTATGATGGCTAACATGTTGTATTTTATTTCCCTGTAAACTCGTAGAGTATTTACGTCTGATAGTAGTTTGAAAACTGCTCTGAATTAAGTCTGAAACATTATGAAAGTAATCAAAAATGATCTGTGAAACTTAAGCAACTTTTATCTCTGTAAAATGTCAATATAAACATTCAGTCAGTAAACTAATATAAAACCCATGATGATTCTCCTGAGTCAAGCCTCAAGTGAAAGTAGTCTACAAGTTAACAGAATCCGGAAAGGTCTAAGCCCAGTCAGCCATGCCTGTCCTACTACCATGCGTTTAGTTACGCTCAGTGTACGGCGTGCGATGTGTCGTGCACGGCAGCTATAGACTGTATCCAACCTTGGTGTACGTAGGCTAAATACCCGCACGAGTCCGATAGAGAAAAGGTGCCAAAAATCCAATTCACGAGGGACAATTCGTCCGATCGTCCGAATGGTGTACAGGGCGGTATATCTGAGTCTGAACCAGTGTCTACTTCATTTATAAGATTCGCCCGGCCTTCTGGTGTATGATCCAAGCGTATTATCACTTTGGTTTGTACACCTTCTCGAACTATGTGTACATCAACAGTTTTCAGAGATACACCGAAGGAAAAGCTGTAAAATTCATCTGCAAGATGGTCTTCTCTGGATGAGTCATAGACAGAATGCGACTTTCATCTCGTCTCCCTGGAGTGATTTCATTGCCTTGACTTGATTAGTCACGAAGTTCACATGTCTGATGTAAATGTAGAACTAAAACAATATCGGGTTTTTACACACATTAAAAAGACAACTACGAGAAAATAAAATAGTTTAAAAATAATAACATTAATAAATAATAAACAATGTTTTTGTGGACATGTAAACACGAGTTATGGACAGAAGAATTAATTCTAAATTTCATTAAGACATCTTTCTTTTAATTATGTACGGTTTCGTTTACATACAACGAATAGGACCAAATCAAATAAAGAAAGTTTGGAGTTGAATAATTCATGAGCAATGTGACACTATGGGGACAGGTGGTCGTCTAGGACCTGCTTGGACTTCACGTTGTTGGATCAATTATCTCAATCATCAATTAATTGACTCTGGAACACCGTTTATGTTGTTACTAAATTTATCTAATGAATACAGCAAACTACAAAGGTTACATACACGAAACTACAATATCTATGATAGTTACTTTTCGAGTTATTAAAATCTCCACGGTCTGAGTTTAATATCCTTTCTGACGGCATAAACGTGGCACGAGCCACATACTTCTTGATAGTTCTGCATAAGGTTCGCGCTAGGATGATGTGTTCACCCTAGCCTCTAAGCCGATGAGGCTGTAAGTATGTTCCCCTTGAGCTCCGAATGATTGTCTGAAGTAAATCAAACCCGCTCTATAATATATAGAAGAATAATGCAGCAGCTATTAGGGTGGGACAATTACCATCTTTCCAGAAATGGATACTGACATAACTGGGGGTGAGTTAGTCTAAGTCTAGACTCTTAAGTTAGTAGTAGGATAATGCAAGCTACTTCATTACCCTAGTTTTCGTCAAACATCATGTAGGTAAAGATTTCTATATTAAACAGAACATTTTTCTTAGACATAAAATAACCCTATAGTGTTATAGCAATACCCTGTATATACTAGTAGTTGTAATATAGTAGTAGTAGCAGTATAGCAGTAGTAGTATTAATATAGTAAGAGTATAGTAGTAGTAATAATAATACAGTAGCAGTAGTATTAATTTAAATGACAATATTGGTGTCAGTCATTATCACATATGTGATAGAACTGGTTAAACACATTGCAAATATAATTTAACACCTAGGTCATTGCTACGATAGATGAGTAATACAGGTGTCATGAATCGGAAGTGACGAACGCCAAAGGAAAACACAAGTTATCCCTCTATATAACTGACTGAAGGAATTATTAGTGAGCAGAAATTCGGCCGTAAATCTGTTATCACTCGTCACTTCAGTCAGTCAGGGATAACTCATGTTTTCCTTTCCGATTCATGACACCTGTATTACTCATCTATCGTAGTAATGATCTCTGTATTAAAATTATATTTGGAACGTGTTTAACCAGTTCTATCATATGTGATAATGACTGACACCAATATTGTCCTTTAATTGTAGTAGTAGTAGTAATAAAATAATAAAGTAGTAGTAGTAGCAGTAGTAATTTAAAGTCGTAGCAGTAGAAGCAATAAGCAATATCATGTTCTCGGCGATAATAGGAAGGATGCCATGCTGGACTTCTGTGATTGGCTTCACAGTTTGAGCGCTTTAGTTTACCAAAAGTCGTCACGAAACCACTTAGGAAATCACTACAGCGCTTTAACCTCGGGTTACATTGCGTAACCGAAAGAGGACGACATAGTCGCAGCGGCATATTTTGGGTGTCGCTACTGTTTATTCCTTTTGAACATACGTACTTGTGTAAAAACAATAGGGATTCATGTCCCCGGGATGTTTAGATAAAAACCACTCCTCCATTCTTTTAAATACTGATTCACAAATCTGAGATTTTTGTTCCTCGCTTCGCTCAATACTCAGGGCATTATAGAAAGAATTATAGGTAGGTGTTTTTATATATTGTGTCATGCCTCGCGCTAAACCTTCTCTATCATCGATACCTGTGAAGCAAAAATGAAAATAATCAACATCCCTGTTATTTACCAAGATGGGGAGCCGCGGTGGCTCAGCGTAGAAGACGTATGCTTGCTAACCTGAAGGTTCTGTGTTTTATCCCGGTGTTATCTGAGAAAGTTCATCGGAATTTCCCAACGTCGTTTCCCCTTGTCTGTGATGAAATGAAACGGGGTTTAGTAGATTATGAACGGAATCTTAGTGTGTTACTAACCAAGAGCCACCAACCCCCCAAAACTTATCAACTGCTAAGCTCCACCAATTAATACCATACCCCCATGCACCCCACAAGCATCCCCGGACAACGTCGAGACTGACAACGCCACTGAACAAAACCATACTGCTTCTTTAAGAGCATTGGAATTTCATATACGCAATTTGGAAACCTCAAGAGGGAGATTAGTATATTTACCTTGTTCTAACTTTTGCTTCCATTCTGTGACATAAAAACAAGGAAGAGCATCCAGTCTAATTTCATGCAGTTTCAGACCCATATTCTGTAACTCTATGGAATTACGGATTGGTTCTTCTAGCTCACATGGGCTTCTGAAGCAAAAAGCGTATGTACCTTGTTTTAACTCGGCCTATGAAAGATAAGTTAAAAATAAATTATAGGTTTTACAAAAAGCAGACGAAAAGCAAACACAAACCAAGGTTTAGCTGTCGCACCCACGGTTCAACTTATACACCTGTTTTACCCAAAGTGACGATTACTCGAAATTTGAAACATCAAAGGGAGATAACAAAATAGAAGCGGATATTTGCCATAATCAAACTATTTAAATCTCAGATTCAGTTAGATGTAATGAAAACTTCAGTACAAACCCAGATCGATATTTTTCGTTCGATAAACAAACATAAAAAAAAAAAATACAAAATAAAAGCAAAAACCCCCAAGAACCCACAAGCACATGAAGCTAGATAATTTTAATTGTTTATGCTTTAATGCATTAATGGGATTAATGTAAACAAAATCAACCTATTATTTCTCGTGTAGGTATTGTACTGTACTATGCGATTTGCAATCAAATTCGGTGATCTGGACAAATCTAGAATATCAATGTGTCTGCCTCAATAAAAAATCATATCATGTTTTCCAAAGTTGAAATATACACTTGACGACAGTTAATACAGATATTGAGATCATGTTATACACACAGAGCAAAAAGCATCACAACTACCGAATATTTATGCGCTCAAGAGAATTTATTACACAAATAAACATGCGAATGTGAAATGAATATTTTGACGTATTCGGTCCTCCTTACATTCCCGTGAATGCTGCATTTTTATTTATACAACATACATTTACCTTTGTTATAATACCACGATCAAATAAAATTTTCCAAATCTTGTCAGCAGCAATAAGTCCATCCTGCAAAGCTACACAGACGGGTTCTTCCAGAGTAGCATCTCTTCCCCCTAATGTTGCGAAGACACCCCAACCACCTACAATAAAATAGATATTTTTACAAGGCGCTGTCTCACTATTCAAAGGTTCCAGGTTCTATCCCGTTGTTGCACAAGAAGTTCCTATCGTGGTTCCCCTTGTCAGTGGTGCACACCAGGGATGTTCTAACACCAAGAAAGGGGGGCAAAAGAAAAATACTGACCTGGTTTCAATTCTTTGGTTCTGTTTTTCAGGAAGAGTACCCAGTCATCCGCTGCTTGTTTCGTTGCGGTGTCCTTTTCGTCTTTATGTTGGGTGAAATAAGGATACACATGGTCATATAGATATACCGTTCTAAAAATAAAAGATGAGATTATGTAGGATAGCGGCCATAGCTTCGACTCGCTAACAAACCAGATACGGTAGGTACGGCCCAGATTGTTGTGAAACCATTCCAGATACGGCACCTGTTACAGCCTAGATTGTTGTGGGAGCCTTCCGAATATGGCACGAGTCACAATCTAGATTGTTGTGGAACCGTTACAGATACGGTACCAGTTACAGCCTAGATTGTTGTTGAACCATTCCAGATACGGTGCCTGTTATGTGGAACCTTTCCAGATGCGGTACCTGTTACAACCTAGATTATTGTGGAACCATTCCAGATACGGTACTTGTTACAACCTAGATTTGATACAGAGTTTAAAGCAATGTAGGATTAGAATACTGATGTCAACAAATATATACAAAAGTTTCTAAAATATAAAAAATAGAATAATTATAACAAATTATGTATAAACTTCATAATACTTGCAATGAAGCCAATATAAAAACATTCCTTTCACTAAAATTAAAAAGTGATCTAAATTATAATGTAATGTGACACTTCTCATATAGTTATTCACTCGACACAATCATTTTAAATTCTAATGATTTGCTTAGCCAAAGGGGTTTTTGGCAGTAGGGGGAAACTGGAGGGCTCGGAGAAAATACACGCGGTTGGACAAGTGCCCGACCTCTTGATATGAAGCGCACACAATAAAACATTCGCTTCCAACACCCCCTGGGGGGTTGGATGGCTTAGTGGTTAGCACGTGCGCGCTGTATCATTAAGTCTGTCATTGAGTCAACTGGTGTGGTTTCGAATCCCCGGTTGTACGTGACAAGGAGTAGAATCGCCTGTCCAACCTCGTGGGTTTTCTCCGGGTCCTCCGGTTTCGTCCCACTGTAAAGACCCCTACGCGTAAGCGAATTATGGAAATAAAATTGAACCATTGTTAATCCCGAAATGACCTAGTTTGTGTCGAGTGGAGTTATAAACCCCATTTCTCTCTCTCTCTCTCTCCCCAACACCCCCTGGTATCAATGCTATACACAGCTAACATGAAAACATCACACCGAATGAATAAGGGTTAACGTTCTACTTTTCTGTAGCGACACTGCATGCTGATTAAGAGTAGGGCGACTGACTTACTTCGATAACCATTGTGTTGCTGAAAAAGACAATGCTAGATCCACAGAATTGGAAGGAAAACACTGCTTGTTAGTCCCGAAATGACCTAGTTTGTGTCGAGTGGAGTTATAAACCCCATTTCTCTCTCTCTCTCTCTCCCCAACACCCCCTGGTATCAATGCTATACACAGCTAACATGAAAACATCACACCGAATGAATAAGGGTTAACGTTCTACTTTTCTGTAGCGACACTGCATGCTGATTAAGAGTAGGGCGACTGACTTACTTCGATAACCATTGTGTTGCTGAAAAAGACAATGCTAGATCCACAGAATTGGAAGGAAAACACTGCTTGTAAAAATTGGTTCCTGTAGATGTCACATAAACATTTTCATGATCCAGAAGATATGATCTGGGATTGGGTATAATACCTAGAAAACAAATATAATTTTATACAAATATAATTTTATACTAATATAATTTTATACAAATATAATTCTATACAAAATCGATTTCAAGGGAGACAGATTACAAATTTAACTTTCAGGAACACAGATAATAAATTTAAATTCAAGACACATAAATCATAAATTCCAAATTAATTTGAAGTAAAATCAATTACAAATTTAATTGAAAGGAACTCAAATTTCAAAATGTTAAGGAAAACATATTACAAATTTAATTCTAAGGAGCCCAAATTACAAAATTGTAAGGAATACATATTACAAATTTAATTCTAAGGAACCCAAACTACAGATTTAAATTTAATAGTAAGTACTGGGGGACTGCGATACAGTTTGTTTCTTAAATAAATTCGAAATTCGGATCTATCTTACAAACCATGAATCCTTTTATATAATGAATTGAAATCATTCTCTGGTAAATCTTCATACATTACATGGATCTCTTTGTTTATGCCACACTTTGACCGAACAACACCTGAAATTCAAATATACTTAGATGTACTATGTCAAATATTCAGCACACAATGCAGACGAAGATATCGGTATTTGATAATAACCTCGACTACTGCCAAATCAAAGAAATAAAAAAAAAGTATGCCGTATTCCATGCACGGTATATAGATGATTTCGTTTTACTAAACAATTCTCGGTTTATAATTATGTGGCTTCATTAAATTGATTAATCCATAGTGTGTTAGTGATCAATACAGGTGAGTTAGTGATTAATCCTAGGCTGTTCTTGGCGAGTTAGTGATTAATCCAGGCTTGTCAGTGCTTATCCTGGCGTGTTAGTGATTAATCCACGGTGTGTTAGTGATCAATGCTGCTGAGTTAGTGACCAATCTTGGGCTGTTAGTGATAAATCCAGGCTTGTTAGTGCTCATCCTTGTGTTAGTAATTAATCCTGGTGTGTTAGTGATTTATCCAGGTGTGTTAGTGATTAATCCAGGTGAGTTAATAATTAATCCCGGTGAGTTAGTGATTAATTCTGGTGAGTTAATAATTAATCCTGGTGAGTTAGTGATTAATCCTGGTGAGTTAGTGATTACTCCATGCCGGTTTGGGATTCATCCAGGTGTGTTAGGCATTAATTCCTGGTGTGTCAGTGATTAATCCTGACGTGTTAGTGATTAATCGTGATCATTAAAATCATGTTTTCGTTTCATGATTAACACACATTCAGTAAAGGTGGTTGACTTATGTTTATGCTTACACGGAACGCAAGATGATACGTTGCTTTTCAAACGTCCATGACATTGATAAGTTACATTTGCTAAGTCCACAAACTGTAAGCATTTTAAATGTGTATTTATGATCTTTGAATTTGATTACAGTTTAGAATCGATCATACTTGTCATAACCGTAGGGGGGAACGGTTATTCGGGTAGGCACTGGCTCAGTAACCAGGTTAGATCCAGATATTTTCAACTTGCTTCCCCTAGTCGATAGGATGGGACGAAAAACAGAGTTCCCATATACAAGCAAAATACAGTTGAATTCGACGAAGGGTAGGCGGAAACACAGCTGTCCAGGTTGAACCGAAGGACGTAAAATACCATTTCATTTAATTTCATAACAATATACTCACTAATTATATCAGTCATTAGTTCCATTGAAATCGAGCCATCGGCGGCACCATATTCTGCTACAGTAAATGGTTCATTTTCTAGATGAGGTTTTGTAACCAGATTTTCTGAAATATTTAGTAGAAATGAAGTACTATCATTACCAAGACTTAATGGTGTGAGTTCTTGTAAATGGATTGATATTACAATAGTAGAACAAACATTGATAGCTATGTGAACAATTGGACGCGTAAGTATATGCTACCTTGTACATGATGTAGATTTCGGGAGTGGTTGCTATATATTGGTCTATTAGATAGCAGATAGACGAGTCGTCATGCAAGATAAGCTCACTTAGACGTTTTGGAAATGGCATGGATTTAAGGTGCCGGGGTATTGGTTTTTCGATATTCATGATACTATGTTCTCTAAGAATAATTAGACAGCTTTGATTTTAAAAACAATCACAAACTAACCAACTACTTTCTCTAAAAATTATTAGCCAGCTATGATTTTAAAAACAATCACAAACTAACCAACTATTTTCAGTATCTGGTCTTTTGAGTTATCACAAAACGCTTTGTTTCTTCTCTGAACGTCTCCATATGATGTTCCCTGTCCACCCGGATTCATCACATTGTAGGACGACCATCTGGACATCAATTTCAAGGGAATCCCCAACCTACATAAACATTTACACCAAATTAAAAGTTTTGGACTAATGGCGTGGATCGGTTCAAGTATAGATGCTGTACCCTGTCCGAATCAACTGCGAGTGTCGTGTGTACAAATATATCCATATAATCTTTAAAACACAAAACGTAGTCTGTAGAACCGGTCATGTAACATTGCTTAGCTTTGAACTATCTTCGATACAGGAGTGGAATGCGAGACAAGTATATCCGGACAATAAAATAACACATTTCGTGCAAAATTCTATTGATATTTACCTAAACAAACCGACAAATCTACATACAGACATCACTATTTCTTTGTTGAAGATCAGAAATCTGTTCTTCTGAAATAAAGATAGCATATCCCGAATTATTTTTAAGCCCCTGTTACATTAACACACAAAGAAGCCTGTTGTTTCTAGCCCCATTTGGTACTCTCTTACTATGTTGGTTTATATGTTGTTGTTGTAGTTTATTACAAATTTAACGCCCAATACATAATACATAATATGATGGATAGGCTAATTTAATTAAGCTTATTTACATATGAAGGAGCAATGAAAATGGGTACAACCTCCCTTGTACCCCCTCCTTAGTGGATTCAATGATACACTAAAATCTTTATTGTGGGCGTACGCTTCGTTGCCTGAAACCCTATCTTCTTTACATGCTGGATATAATTTCATTGACATCATAATATATACTACAAAATTTACGCAGTGGCGGCGCCAAAGGGGGGGGGGGCATAAATCTGGTCTGCCCTCTGTTTGCCGCCCCCCCCCCCCCCCAATAATTTTAGAAAATAAAAAAATAGTGTTTGTGAAACGTTTCGGTAATCAATACCATCTACAATGATTAAATCCCACATACCCACTCAGTCATATACTTGCATGTTGTAGAGCCCGCTGAGTGATTCACTTGCATTTTGCATACCGATAGTTCATTGGCCAATCACGCTATTTTACCGACATTTCGCCTAATAGTTTGGATGTGGCTATGGCGGGTGTGGCGCCAGGCAGGGTAAGCTTACTCTTCCGGACACCTGTTACCACTGTTTGTCGTGTATTTTGTATACGAGGAGCAGTCCATTTGCCGATTACATTATTTAGCTTGAATACACTATTTTGCCTATAACGTTTTTTAGGACTTCGAATTCTGTCTTATGGTTGGTTTTATTTTATTCTTACCAAGCCCATCCTGCTGTAAATATACTATAAACAATAACACGGGAATCACTTGAGAAATGTTTTTTAGGGATCCTCAAAGTTTTTGGGTATAGGTTACGCGGCGAGAATATGCATTCACTTGATACACTCACTCCGTTCGTTTGACACAACCCTGTCTGTTCGGATAAGCTGGTGATTTGGCGACGAACAGTATCTGGTCAATTCTATTTATCATTTCCGGCAGTCTATTACACAAAATATTGTGGCGAAAATATTCATTCACCTTGATTCACTCACTCCGCCCGTTTGACATTTTCCTCTCTGGTCGGATAAACTAGTGATTTGGCGACAGGCAGTATCTGGTAATCTCTATTTATCTCGACGATCAGTACCTGAAATACTGCCAGATTGCATTTCGGGCAGTCTACTTTCGAAATTTTCGGGGGCTTCTTTGAGGTCCGCAAGTCCGTTCATTTGACACTTTCCTCTCTGGGTTCGGATAGACTAGTGATCGGACAACAGGCGGTATCAGATCAGCTCTATTTATCTCGATAATCGGTGCCAGAATACTGCATTTCCGGCAGCCTGTTTTTCAAAAAATTTCTGGTGGAGACCCCCCTACCACTAGTCGAAGCTCATGCCTTTGCCCCCTTAACCTTGGACTTTGCCCCAGCTTTGCCCCTCCAACCACCGGCGGCTGGCGCCGCCACTGTATTTACGCTTTGCAGAGTTAATTAGTTATTTTTAAAACCAGGCCAATGAATAATTAATGTGCTCTTCATGTACAATAACGTGTGCTAATGTAATGTTTTATCTCGGTGCAAGGTTAAACATAATAGCATTTTATTGCGCATTGGCTTTGCTAAGCATACGAACGAATGATGTTGAGTCGTACATTTATGCATCAGTATTTCCACTTCCACCATTACTCCAGAGTTTTTAGGGGGATCAGTTATTCACATAACAACTGACCAGGTCGCCGAATCCCAAATATTCTAAAATCATTGTTATATTTCTTGCCCCTTTGAAACATAATGGTTGGCTAATATTTTGATGTTAAATTCAACCGATCTTTACTGTAGCATTACTGGATCGTCAGTTATTAAATTCTACTAACGTTGTGCATTTCCCCGTGACCAAAACAAAAGACTACTACAGTTCAAGATCCTGGATGGAACATTATTCTTCGGATCAAGGCGTTTTGGGTGAAATATTCAACAACAAGAAACTTACTTACCTTAATTGTGTAATGCGTTCTTTAAACTATTGCGTACAGGTGGCTACCAAAACAATGTAGGCTATGTAGATATTTATTCGAGTTTCATTACATACACAGTCAACATGCAACTAAGAGTCTATGTACAACTCTTATGCATATTTGTGTCAATACATTTATTGATATGCATAAACAGGTCACGGTCGGGGTGTTCTAATCTGCTTACAAGTTCTATACAGTCGTTATATACCTAGATATGTCTACAATGTAAAATTGCAACGCTGATGCATATAGTCATTTCAAGGCAGTTATAGATATATGTTCTTCTTTTAAATTATTCCTTAAAATATGGTAAAAAACAAGTTTCAATATAATTAAATTTGTTTTGTGTGTGCGTGTTGGGGGGGGGGGCTTATATTCATCTTTAACAGAAATAATATCAGCCCTTGAACCCTATATCTTCGTGGTTACATCAGCTTGCCTCTCCATTTAGTAAAGTAAGTGGCCACACCATGTCCATCACCCAACCCATGTATTGCGAACATTTGCTGTAGACTTTGTTAGAACTATACGATTGGATATTGACATTGTACAGGTCACACAAACCATTCATTTATAACACCTGTTTATATACAATTAGGATTTTTATTACAAAATTCAAAAACATGTAAAAACTATAATCTTGTATAAATTTGGCCTCAAAAATAAAATATATAATACCCGTATATAACCTAAGAAAAACTATGTATTTTTATTACAAGATTCAAAACTTCTTGCATATTATATGGCTTACTGTATAAAAATTAAAATATAACGTATTGTAAATATATTATTCCAAAATGATAAATAAATAAATTACCCCCCCCCCCCCAATACTTAATAAGAAAATTCCTCCTCTTCGTATGCCTCTCTATTTCAATAATTTAAAACTAATTCTATGTCCATTCATCTAAACCCAGCCGTGACTGGTACTTACAATATTAATTCATACCACACAAACAGGATATAGTTGAATTAACAACTAAAAAATCTTTCAAACACGCTTATTGACAAATATAATGGTTAAATTAACACTTGACAACAAATTCTTATTCATAAATGTATACATATATATACATATACATTCACACTTAAAACAACTATACCCCATTCTTATTCACAAACATACAGTTGAATTCACAATTAAATCGAAACAACTCTCGCACAAAAATACAGCAGAATTCACGCTTGATGCAACTCTCTCACAAACATACTCACAATTAAGTTGAATTCACAAACATATTATTCCCAAATAGTAGATAAACCAAATACAACATCAATAAAATATGATTTGGAGTTGATTCTGTGTCTCTTAAAATATAAGTTTCTGTTCATCGCCCATTCTGGTACATCAACGACTTCATCTTTAGAAAGATCATCAGCCCAATTAATAAAATCTTTTGTCAAGTTTTCTTTAGCATCGCTATCTAAACCTGTTGCCCGAGAAGATCCTACTTGGCTGATTTTAGTAGTGGCATTAAATTTAAAATCAGGAATCAAAGCCCAGCTAGGAATGTCTACGGCTCCTTCATACATAGGTTCTTCAGCCCAGTTGATGACAAATTTATGGTAGATTGGGTCAAATTCTCCAATATTGTCTCGGGCGAAAGAATAGATATGGCGGTCGTAATCTAATCCAGGTATCAATGCCCAGTCAGGGACATCTACGGGTCCATCATACACAGGTTCGTCAGCCCAGTTGATAACATATTGATGGTGAATTTGGCTGAAGTCATCAATATTTTCTGTGGTAGCCCAATGTCTTCTAGAACAATCAACTTTCTCATGTCGATTAAAATCAAATGCAGGTATTAAAGCCCAGTCAGGGACATCTACGGGGCCATCATGCACAGGTTCTTCGGCCCAGTTGATAACATATTGATGGTGAATTTGATTGAAGTCATCAATATTGTCTGTGGTAGGGTAATCATCTTTAGCATTTCGATCAAAATCTAATCCAGGTATCAATGCCCAATAAGGAATATTTGTTGGTTTTTCATATGAGATTTCGTCAGCCCAGTTGATCACTGAATAATGTTGGTTTTGGTTTAAATTCAGCTGATGAGTGTCGTCTAATTCTTCGTCCATATTCTTACTATCTCCATTGGATGATGCTGATGATAGAGATGATGATCTTGGAACTCTCATTTCACAAATCTTCTCGTATCCATGGTTGGATTTCTTAAAGTAAGTTACAACTGAAAAAGTGAAAACATTTTAAGAAATGAAAATAAGAAATTAAAAGACCAATAAATAATTGACCCTATATAATAAATAAATGTTCAAATCCACTACAAGTAAAGTACGTAAAACAAAGGTCTTCGTGCATGTATTGCACATCAAAATATTGCTTGGCAGTTGGAATCAAAAAGTAGGCGAAAACGCCGCCACCCCCTTCCCCATCCCCGTATTTCACACGTAAGTATAAATACAAAATACCGTATGTTCGTGTCAAGCGACAAGTCGACAACAAATAAATAAATAATTCTAACCATTTTATTTGTGTGATTTAATCAAATGCATGATTAGTAACGCGTTAGACTTACTAGAAGTTGACTAGTGTTGACTAGTAAAGTGTTAGACTTACTAAAAGTATTAACTGTAGAGTTGACCAAAAGAGTGTTAGACTTACTAGAAGTATTAACTGTAGAGTTGATCAAGTCTTCATCAGTTAATGTGACAAACATGTTATTATCATTATATATTATCTGGCGTAATACTTCACCATAGTCTAAACTATTATCACTATAGTCTGGTATTTCTCTGGAATAAATATAATACAAAATAAAAGTGGACGCAAGAGAAAGTAAAATACTCTTTATAGTTCAAACTTTTTTAATTTAAAAAAAAAAGCAAAAACCGTATTCAAAACATATAACAGAGAAAATCAGTTGATCTATTTGTTTTTATCTGTTCTCAACTCAACTACAAAAATACTGAAAACTTATTTGAGATTTTAACGGTTTTTTTTCTTTCAATTCTTAGAATTCTTTACAAAATAATTCAATATACTTACAATACAGTCATAGTTGATGTTATACTTTCCTATCTGGAGTCACAAAAACGTAGAAAATTTAATTAATCACAGAATTATCACAGAGCGTCTTTCTCTTAGAAGATAAAATAGCTCAATGATAGAACAATAAGATGACGTTTTACCTATTGTGACGTCATAATTAAAAGACGTTAAAAGTTTTGTTAAATTTCCCCAAAAAAGTAGTTACGTTCGCTTGACATTTGAAGCTTTTCCCCGAAATTTATTATTTTTTGTCGAAATTTTTACCCCCAAAAAGGATATTTCCTAACCGATTCATAGATTATTCTTTTTCCAATTTCAAAGATTCATTCTCGACCAAAACAGTTAACTTTTAAATACTAAACACTGACAAGTGAAACCTATTATAAGTTTGTCTGAGAGACTGTTCATCAGAAACGTTTATGGTTCTCGCCCAAGTAATATTTTGGGGCATAACAAGGAAAGGATTACGCATAATATTTGAACTAACATTGGAAATTCACAGTCAATCAGTACTTCAAAAATTGACGAAGCCTTACCAGAACAGGGAAAGCGTGATCCTCCAGTGGAATGAGAGTTAAAGACAACACATGAGAAGTGATTAACCAAAGCAGCACCAATAGTGCAGCCAATCAATATACTACTCCTAATTTTAAGGATCTATCCGTGGCCAACCAGACCATGTTATACATCTTGTAACAATAAATAGTGAACATGGGCTAGGGCAAGATCTGCACAGTTTTAAAAAATACAATTGCTGGACAGTCTGAAATCACCCTTTTTGGTGTATAGATAAGGGTAAACATTATTAAATTAACTATAAATATTTTGTATGTAGGTATAAAACATTAACTTTCTTGGTTGTATCCCAGAGATAACTAAAGGACTAATCACTAACCATATTACCATAGTATGCTTATGTTTGGATTTAACTTCAAGAAATGCACAGTATTATTATGACGTTCACTAGGACGTTAAAGCCCATTTCATTTCATTATTATTAGGATAAAATGATGAACTCTGTATTCATTAAGTCGAACTTTGACACTATTATCTTTAAAAATATCGTGCACGGTAATATAATGCCATTGTAATCAAGTGACATCAACTATTGGCGTGCACGTAAAAGATCCCTTGACAGTTGGAATTCGATATTAGAGCAGGCCGTAGTGCCGCTGTCCGGGCAAAATTTTCCTCATAGCACAATGTATGGCGTATGCCCGTCTGCATTAGCCCAGTTCGGAGCAAAACAATAGGACGTTAAACCCCATTTCATTTGTGTAATTTGATGATTTATTTGGAAAACAAATTAAAACTATTTTATATTTCAATATTTTGCTCCTCCAAATACCGTTCAAAATTTTTAATCGAAAAAAAAAGGTAATCCAACCCCCTGCCACGAGAATCTTTTTTGTCAGCCTGGAGGAGAATCCAGCTTTATCTTATATTTGTCGTTAGTCGCTGTCTATTTACCATAAATATCGAAGCCTAAGTAAATTACTGGATTACCTTCTGCCAACTTCTCTTTCCGACGTTTAGACATAAAAATAATGACACAAATTCAATTTACTAAGAGGATTCCCGCTTCTTTCTTGTGAACGTTAGGGTCAGTGGCGTAGCCAGGATGTTTGTAATGGGGGTGGATGGCTTGGATGCCGTACGCATCCTGCGCGAACAAACTGAAAGTGGGAGACAGGAGGATCCTGTTACATGAACGTAACAGGGCTTTATACTGTCTTGCAGAAATACACGTAACATCACCTAAAATCAAATTTGAAAATCGACGACGTGGAGAACTGATCTGTATATAATAATTCAGCTTTGTGGTTTGATATATTATTGGCCTGGGACATGTGTGATCAAATCTTAAGATTTACAGATATACTCCGATATTTAAGTTCAATTTGTCAATTTGAAAAATTCGACGAGCTTTAGATATGTTTGAATAGCATGTAGTTCTTGGGGACCTTCAGTTTTGAGTGTTTTTTAAGAGATACAAATTATTTATATATTCTTTCGGCAGAAAACATTGAATTTAAGGTTGATGTTTTTATTTTCTTTGTTGGAGTTATAATACTTCTCTTCAGGTATAGTAAGCTTTTCAATTTTTAAAAACAAAATTTGGATTTTTTATTTTTATTCGAATATTGTATAGGTATAGAGTGACCATTATTGATAGGTATATTAAGCTTTTCAATTTTTAAAAACAAAATAGAATACACTCTCGGGGCATTTGGATTTTTTATTTTTATTCGAATATTGTATAGGTATAGAGTGACCATTATTGATAGGTTTACTTTCATCTTGACTACAAAATAGAACAAAATCCAAAGACACGTTTTGTTTGTCTAATTGACACTATGGTCATACATACCGTCGATAACAAACTTCCATATCAGTCTGGACAACACATCCTTGAATTAGAGTCGTTAATAATTAATTACACCCACTCTATAATATGCTTCGGCATTTTAAAATATACTGCTATAAGACAAAGATCTGTAGAATAACGGTTAACAAGAACAATTCTGTCTGATCAGAAAACAGTTTCTAAGAATTCAATTTTCAAATTCTGTCCCACAGGAAATTGCTCCCAGCAATGACATCAAATAAAAGGAAATGGCTCAAATTATCAAAATTTTATCAGTGGGGGAGGGGGAGGGGAACCTCCTGTCTCCCACTTTCAGTGTGTTCGCGCAGGATGCGTACGGCATCCAAGCCATCCACCCCCATTACAAACATCCTGGCTACGCCACTGACCCTAACGTTCACAAAAAAATAATAAAATCAACAAGAATCATAACATGACATAAACTTGATGTCGACTTGTATGCAGCTGCTTTCCGGCCATAAAATGATCGGCGACCAACTATATAGACATGGCGATCTATGTTTTACTGGTGCGCTCAGTGTTAAACCAGTATTTTGTTGACATTCATTGTGGGGTGGGATTATAGATGGCGCCCTAGATTTGGACCCCCCCTCCCCCACCAATTCACAGCTTCTAGATCTGCTACTGATTAATATACTCCCTAAACAACACAACAGTACTTCTTATTCCTTTCCCATAATCGACCAGAGTACGCGGACTTGTGTCTGATATAATTGGAGGTAAATAATTCAGTTACGCCCTGTAAGAGGAAGCCAGCTACCGATGGAAACCCTTAGTGGTAGTAGCAATGAATGTCGTGTTCTCGGCGATTGTAGGAAGGATGACATTTTGAACTTCTTTAAATGACTGCATATTTTGGCTCGAAATCACTTGAACGTTTAAGTTTTCCAGAAGTAGATATGAAACCACCAAGGAAATAACTGCATTGCTTTAATAATAAACAAACGGTTACATTAAGTAAGGGATGCTTTTGGGGGTCACCGCTGTCTGTTCCTTTTGAACATACGTACTTGTGTAAAAACAATAGGGATTCATGTCCCCGGGATATTTAGATAAAAGACACTCCTCCATTCCTTTAAATACTAATTCACAGATCTGTGATTTCTGTTCCTCGCTTCGCTCGCTACTCAGTGCTTCATAGAAAGTATTATAGGTAGGTGTTTTTAAATATTTCGTCATATCTCGAGCTAAACTTTCTCGATCATCGATACCTGTGAATAATAAGTAAAGAGAATAATAAACAAGATCTCTCACTGAGTAAGACATTGGTTCGCTAACTTTGAAGTCCTGTGTTCGACCCCGGTGTTGATCAAGAAAGTCCATTGTCAGTGATGCAGGACATAGGGCCTGGTAAGGTACAAAGCATAGTTGTTCGGATAGGAGGAAACCGAGAGCCCAAGTAAATATTGACGCGTACGTTAAAGAAGTCTTGGCATTTAGAAATCGATGACCATCATCATTGGTCCAGTCAGAGGAGAACAGTAGGACGTTAAACCCATTTCGTTTCATTTCATTTCATTTAAAAAGATAATTGGATAATCTCATGAAGGGTATAGGGGAAGTGGGCTTACCACCCACCTCATCTTTAAAGAGATCGCTTCTATCAACAAATAGGTATGGTGGCTGATAATGGGCATGTGAAATCTCGCTCTTTTCATAACACGATAACACGATAGTATACTATACGTAATCATAAGACCGATATTGTCTCTTTCATAGTTATGTCCCTTTTCTTGACAGCTTGCTTTTCTGTCAATTGTGTATTGGGGTAGCTTTTATTTCAAGAATATTATGAACAGAATCTTAGTGTTTACAAACCACGAGCCACCCCACCCGCCAAAATGTTTATCGACTGCTAAGCTCCGCCAATAAATATCACATCCCCTCGCCCACAAGCATCTCCGCACAACGTCGAGACTGACAATGCCACTGAACAAAACCATACTGCTTCTTTAAGAGCATTGACTATACGCGATTTGAAAACCTCAAGAGAAAGATTAGTACATTTACCTTGCTCTAACTTTTGCTTCCATTCTGTGACATAAAAACAAGGAAGAGCATCCAGTCTAATTTCATGCAGTTTAAGACCCATATTGTGTAACTCTATGGAATCACGGATTGGTTCTTCTAGCTCACGCGGGCTTCTCGAGCAAAAAGCGTATGTACCTTGTTTTAACTCGGCCTATGAAACATAAGTTAAAAGAAATTATAGGTTTTACTCAAAGCAGACGAAAAATGCACCAATTGAAGCTAGATAATTTTCCTTTTTAATGCTATAGTTTCAATAAACCTTTTGATGCTAACAAAATCAGTCATTTTGAAACTGTTCTTTGAAGGGGTCAGAACCAAATTGGGCTAACCAACAATTTTGAAAAAAACCCAACTCTTTTTTATACCGTTAGAAAGCTCTCTCGGAGTCCTCTAATTAGTGTTATAGTGGCCTATCTAGTATGTGTATTCCCCCAGTTAATAATAGCCATTTCTAGTTTCCAGGCACTATTCAATATTCTCAGGAGAAAAGTGGTCTAACCCACAATTTTAGACAAAAGTCTGGACCAGACTGGTTTAAGACACAAATCTGATATGGCATCACCCACGAAACACAGTATGTGTTTTAAGGAAAAAACTGACCAGATTAGGTTAAACAAATAACAAAAATTGATCATGTCCAAAGTATGATTGGAGATGATGATAGCGCTCAGCCAAGCCCCCAACCCCTCCTGACCGTAATTATCGGAAATCGTTGAAAATCCCCAGACTTCTAATATCATGACTCTAAAGATACCTTTCATGATTTCTTGATATATTTAGACAACACACATTCTAACTACTGTACATTTAAGTCTCTTACTGTTCTCACAACCGCTAATAATTCGATAAGCACATACAAAGCCATCCTCGATATTCCCAGTGAACCCATTCCGTTCTACTCCACTATACCCTGGGTTAATCCATGGGGTTTCCACGATTTCAAATTATCTGCCCTGGCCTTGTTTGTAGCTCTAGTCTACGAACAAATCAAAAAACAGTTTACAAACCTGTAGTTTCGCCTTCGTTTTTATAAGGGTAGATAACCATATTCATGTCCATTTACTAAACTATTTATGTAAATAATGTATATATTTCTAATTGATTTATATTTATTTGTATTATCAAAATCTGTAGTATATTTCCTTGATTTCAAATATGTATAACATCTATATGTTTGACTTTTTTTTATTATTATTACAATTAGTTCTTTGTGTGAAATGTTTCATTCTGTTATGTTTATTATTATCGAACTTACATATGGCAATTTCATTCACAATAACGTAAAACTCCGCTAACCATCAAACGATTTCCAATAAAACTCTTGAAATTTCATAAACGTCCGGTCTTCAATAAATACGCATTTAGAATAATTTGGACTTCTCTCATTTAGGCCAACTCCTAACCTTGACCGATGACAGTTACTTCCCTTTGCCAACTTCCTTTTCAATTAACGATTTATAGGATTGGTCGGAAAAAATAGCACAGTCACCAAGGGCGGATAACTTGAAAACGTCCCCCCCCCCACCTAACATAGATTAACCCAGGGGTTAGTGGAGTAGAACGGAATGAAACCACTAGGGATACCGAGGATGATACAAAGCGGTTCCTACATCAATCGAGCAGACAACAAGCCGATGCGTTGCCAGTTAGTGATACCTTTACATCTTTGCCCTTTGCGCGCTCCATAGGTGTTTTTCAGGGATTCCAACAGTTCTATAGTAAGAAGGGGGTGTCTATATTTTCTATGACGGTGAAGTTCAAACTGGAAGTGGCCCAGTGGCCGCCCCATGTTTTATTTAGGGAATCCAATAGTTTTCTAGTAAGAATGGAATGTCTCTACTTTCCATTTGTACCTAATTTGCCATACTTTTATGATATATGGAAATAGATTAAAATCAGCTAAAAAACCGATTCATCCCCACATCTTAAAAATTATTAAGCTCTGAAGTAGACCCATGTGTGTTACCAAACCCTGAGAATATAAATCAAAACTGTTACATGTTAAACAAGCCTTTGTCATGCAGGATAAGCCTACATTTTGCAAGAGATGGGCAAAGAACAATCTAAAAAGCGACTTTTCGTACAATCAGGGACCATAATCTAGGATTTTATGCCATAATATCAAAAGAAACCAAGATCTTAGGGATATGAACATGTATTTTGTGCTTCATCAAAATCGGAAAAAACATTGTGACCTGTAGAGGGTCCACAAGGTCCTTGGTATTACATACTTCTACTCTATTTGCGTACGAGGAATGACCATACGTACAATCGAGGGCCATAATCCATGAAGTTACGGTCCGATACATGCAATATCGAAAGGAACCGAAATCTTTCGTCAAAATGGGATAAAATTGTGAGTGACCTTTTGAGTGTCCACAATCAAAATCGGATAAAAATTGTAACCTGTAGAGGGTCCACAAGGTCCTTGGTATAACATACTTCTACACTATTTGCGTCCGAGGAATGGCCATTCGTACAATCAGGGTCCATAATCTATGAGTTTACGGTCCGATAATGCAATATTGAAAGGAACCGAAATCTTTCGTCAAAATGGATAAAATTGTTACCTTTTGAGTGTCCACAAACAAAATCTGAACGGACGTCCGGACGGACAGAGGCAACGACAATATACGCCAGCGTGAAAACGTGGGCGTACAAAGTTTTTTTAAAACATACTACTGTTTCTACACTAAGACAGTGTCTCATTTTAGAATTTTTGTTTAATCAGTAAATAGAAGTCTTCAAGTAAAAATGTTTTCATTACAATTATTCATTTTTGTGCTTATGTTTTTGCGGGTTAGAGTCCCAAAAGTGGAAAATCCTTTAGAACCACAAAATCTCAGGAAAAAAATGTGAACTTAATAATACAGTGCACTCTGTCACATCCGACCTCTGATCACTCCGGTCCGGTACTCTGTGAAATCCGACGCCATTACGCATGTTAAATGAAATAAAAATTAATGTTATAAAATTTTGAATGCACAGAAAGGTTTATCATTTTTAAAGGGAATAACATTCTGGTGAATCGAATCTACACTATAATAATACTTCCGGTTTTCGAAGTTACAATATTTCCGGTTTTGAGAAAACTGGATATTCCGACACCCTGTGTCGATCCGTACGATGTCGGATTTGACAGAGTCCACTGTATACTTATGAATTAAGGCATGTCATGGCACGTGGGATGTCAAAGTATCACTAATCTTGGTGAATTACAGAATTTTTAATCATCGATAAACACTGAAGTCAAATATATCGAAAATGGTCAATGTGGGTTAGTCCTCTTCGGTGCTGACCCTTCATTTCCCGTCTAGGTATTGCACTGTTCTTTGCCATCTGCGATTCGGACAAACCTAGAATATCAATGTGTCTGTCTTATTAAAAAATGCTATCATCTTTTCCAAAGTTGAAATATACACTTGACGACAGTTAATACAGATATTGAGATCATGTTATACACACAGAGAAAAAATTATCATAACTACCGAATATTTATGAGCTCAAGAGAAATTTATTACGTAAATAAATTTATACGAAAGTGAATTAAAATTGTTGACGTAATCTGTCCTCCTTTGCATATCAGTGATAGCAGCACTTAACAGACCAACGGCGCAAGCAAAACATGAAACCCTCGCGTCATGAAAACCAGTTTTCTTAAACCAGCTATTGTATTTAGGGCAGTTTTAAAATCGCTGTATTCACTACGTGTACGTAACCTGTTATTAACTTTTTCACTGTTTCGACAATTACCTTTGTAATAATACTACGATCAAATAAATCTTTCCAACTTTTACCCGCAGCAATCCATCCATCCTGAAAAGCTACACAGTCTGGTTCTTCCGGAGAAGCATCTCTTCCCCCACCCGTTGCGAAGACACCCCAACCACCTATAATAAAATAAATATTTTTACAAGGCGTTGTCTCACTATTCAGGGGTACTGGGTTCTGTCCCGTTTGCAGCATAGTCGTCGGTCGAATGCGCAAAGCGAAACCGAAAGCTTACCTCATCCGACCCGTGTCACCATTCTTGCTACACTCCTTTGTTTGACTGGCGCCAATATTATTGGAACTCTCTAATCTTGGACTTCATGTTCTTTGGCATAAATATGGCTACCCAATCAGATATATACCAGCAACACAAATATTTTCTTAATTACTTTTGCTATCAAGCAGGAAACAGTTTTCAAGCAAAGGTCTATATAAAAACTAAAAGATCAAATGACTTTCATTCTCTCAACCAACTCAGAGAAGTCCAGCCGGAAGACATTAAGGCATGGTCTTCTCACAATCTGAATGGCATCTGATTTGACATGAATGATTTTGCTCATTTATATTTCCCGATTTCTCCCATTAATTAGCTGTTTTTTTTAAATTACATCCAATGCCTTAAGACTTAGCTAATTATGGACAGTGGCCTTCCCAGCATATCCGGTAAATTTCCGTTACGATATCAATTTGAAAACATAAACAGATATATGTTTTTGACAACAAACAAAAGTAAATGACCAGTCTCTGCTAACTCATGGGTCATTTTAATATATAATATATCTCCTATTTCCGTTGTATTACGTGATTTAAAACTTGTTTTCGAATTTGAAAACAATATTTAGGTCGAAGTTATAATATTGCTACACATTGTTGCCCAAGAAGTTTCTCGGGGTTTTCCGGCATGGTTTCCAATGTCAGAAGTGCAAAGCGGGAAGGAAGCTGACAAGGAACAGAATATAGTTGAATGAACAGTACGAAAATCGAGGTCCCGTGTGCACGAAAAAGAACCCCTGGCAGGTGGATTTCTACAGAACGACACTGTCCGGGCAAAATTGCACCAATCGCACACTGCATGGCGTGTATCCGTCTCTATTACGCCGGTCGGTGCAGACATGTGGGACTTTAAACATATTTTCAATTCCGGAATAAGAGTTAAGGCGAAGACTAAACTCTGATAATACTTAAAGCCATTTGCATTTTTCGGAAAATATAAGAATTTCCAAAAAAGTCGTCCGACTTGAATACAATTGGAGTTTTAAGTACTGAACCGTTTTTGGACCGATATTTACCGTCCAATAATCCTTTGATAGCAATTTAGGTATATTATAAATGTAGGAGATGACGAGCACACATGAAGTGGGATTTAATGACGCAGATGATAGAAAAGCAGACGACTTCTGAGCCCTTTTTGCATTAACTGGTATAAAAACATGCACAATCTGGGCAAAAGTAAAATAGTATTGAACTTTTAATCACCACGCCAAGGTCTCTTATGGAACAGCATAAACTATAGTTTTGATATAGTTTATTTCATTAATTTTCATGTACCCAAAGTAGCGCGAGTAAACAGAGAAAGCCGAAGACACTACGCGATCCTTCTTATAACATACAGATATCGTTTCAACAGATTGGTGAAGAAAATGGTAGAATCTACTGAAGTTAGAAAAGAAGAGATGTGTCTTCTAATGAATGTAGAGTCATCCAATGTAAATGCTAATGGTTAAAGTTCAGTTAGGTGAAAGGTTACAGCACTGGGTGTTCTAACACCAAGAAGCGCGGTAAAACTTGACAAAAGAAAAATACTGACCTGGTTTCAATTCTTTGGTTCTGTTTTTCAGGAAGAGTACCCAATCTTCGGCTGCTTGTTTCGTTAAGGCGTCATTTTCGTCTTTATTTTGGGTGAAATAAGCATACACGTGGTCATGTACATACACCGGTCTAAAAATAAAAGATGAGATTATGTAGGATAGCGGCCACAGCTCCGACCAAAACAGATACGGTAGGTACAACCTAGATTGTAACCATGCAGTTACAACCTAGGTGTTTGTAGAACCATTCCACATACGGTACCTGTCACAGGTTAGATTGGGGTGGGACTATTCTAGATACGGTACCTGTTACAACCTAGATTGTTGTGGAACCATTCCAGATGCGGTACATGTTACAGCCTAGAATGTTGTGGAATCATTCTAGATACGGTACCTGTTACAACCTAGATTGTTGTGGAACCATTCCAGATGCGGTACATGGTACAGCCTAGAATGTTGTGGAATCATTCTAGATACGGTACCTGTTACAACCTAGATTGTTGTGGAACCATTCCAGATGCGGTACATGTTACAGCCTAGAATGTTGTGGAATCATTCTAGATACGGTACCTGTTACAACCTAGATTGTTGTGGAACCATTCCAGATGCGGTACATGTTACAGCCTAGAATGTTGTGGAATCATTCTAGATACGGTACCTGTTACAACCTAGATTGTTGTGGAATCATTCCAGATACGATACTTGTTACAACCTAGAATGTTGTGGAATCATTCCAGATACGGTATCTGTTACAACCTAGATTGTAGTGGAATCATTCCAGATACGGTACTTGTTACAACCTAGATTTAATATACAGAGTTTAAAGCCATGTAGGATTAGAATATTGATGCCAACAAATATTTACAAAAGTTTCTAAAATATACAAAACAGAACAATCAGAGAGAGAGAGAGAGAGAGAGAGAGAGAGAGAGAGAGAGAGCATAATATTATGGTTCATATTAATTTCAATGATTGGTTTATGCATAGGTATCTTTGGCAGTAGTATGACCGGGAGACAACCCACCCGAGGTTGGACAGGCGACTCTAATCCTTATGATGAATGAGCCGGGAATAGAGATCACACCAAGTGACTGACTCAGCGCCAGGCCTTACGATCTAAAGCGCACGTGTTAACCCCCCCCCCCCCCACATGTTACCATACCAATCATATATACAGGTATAATGACAACATAACACCGAATGTTGTGAATGAAAATGGGGTTTAATTCCTACTTTTCTGCACCGACACTTAATGTTATTTAATTGTATGGCAGCTGACTTACTTCGATAACCAATGTGATGCTGTAAAAGACAAGGCTAGATCTACAGAATTGGAAGGAAAACACTGCTTGAAAAAATTGGTTCCTGTAGATGTCACATAAACATTTTCATGATCCAGAAGATATGATCTGGGAATGGGTATAATACCTAGAAAACAAAGTAGAAATTTAATTCTATATAAATTTAATTTTATACAGATATGTAATCTTATTATAATTTAATCTAATTTTATACAAATCAAATCTAATTGTATACAGATCAAATCTTAATTTATACAAATCAAATCTAATTGTATACAAATTAAATCTTATACAAATCAAATCTAATTGTATACAAATTAAATCTTATTTTATACAAATGTAAAGATGTATTATGTAAAAGCTAACACTGTCTATTGAAGGTCTTTCTTAGACATTTATTAACATGACAAGCCTATCAACTTTCTAGGGCATCGGATGGCCGAGGTTTAAATGGATTTAAACATCCGCGAGATTTAAACTTTCAACGGTAAAACGGACAATCGAGGGTAAGTTTCGGTTTTCAAGTATGGTTGCTACGATAACGAACGATCACCACCGATATATCTTCAAACAGTCATAACTTCGCTCAGAAGAAAGTAATTTAAATGACATTTTTAATATATTCCTTTTTCATTATCCATTTTTGAACTATTATAGCAAGAACTTCCAGCTCTTTATCTAAATTTTACATAATGTACCTTTGAAATGTCATAGTAAGTGCAGGAGGGCTGTTACACACATAAGCAAACACACTTAAGGCCAAGACATATACATTACAAATACAGTAAGTGATAAATAAGAAAGGTATATATAAAATCAAATGAATGGGTCCAGGGCCAACCTTAATAATCGACGGCGCTGTACAGTAATGCAGGTTTCAATCAAAACGAAAACCGAATCAGAAGGGGGAGGCAATCAACAATATTACCCAAACGTTATATTATTCTAGCACGAAATAGCCCATAGAAGTAAACGGTTAATAACTATCCAACTTAGAGAAATGATTCAAGTCAAAAGAAATAATAAAGGACGCCAGACAGTAATCGATAGGGTTCAAATCATAACAAGCCAACAGTGAGGCTGATGTCCCCCGGCCGAAATCCCAAAACAGATAGATGACACAGTTATGACACAATTAATTGCACAGTTATCGTTTTGAAAAGTATCGAGCAATCAAACTGATTATCAACTATACAATAAGTTTCATCACTCTCCATCAGTTAGAATCAGAGTTATCTTGTCCCAAAGTTTTGACCAATGAAATTGCTTAGCTATGCTTAGATTTAGCGGGAAATGTTAATCATTGAACTCAGCCAAGACATTCACCTATTGAACACTCGTAGCTCAATTAAAAGTAGCGTTGTTATGTCCCAAAGTCTTGACCAATCAAATTGCTTATCGCTACTTAGTCTAAGTAGAAAATTCTCTTTATCGAACTTAGTGAATGAAATTATATAATGAATCTATACTCGCAGTTTCAGCATTCTCACCCAATTGGAACCAAAGTTATCGTGTTCCAAAGCCTCAGTCAATCAAATTGCTTATCTCTGCTTAGCCTTTATGGAAAATGCGCATGACCGAACTCTGTCAAGGCATTCACCTAATAGACAACTACACCAAGTTTGAACACTCAATTAGAAGGAGTGTTATTGTGTTCCAAAGTCTCGACCAATCAGATTGAAGTCTCTACTTTGCCTAAGCAGAAAATGCTCATCATCGAACTTTGTAAAGGTATTGATGTAATGAAACTATACACGAATTTTCACCAATATTACTTAATTAGAATCAAAGTTGTCGAGCTCCAAAGTCTCAACCAGTTAATTGATTATCGCTCTGCTTACCCAGAGCTCAAAATGCTCATTATCGAACTTATTCATGTGATGAAACTATACACCAAATTACATCACTCTCACTTAACTATAAACAAAGTTATCGTGTCTCGAACCACCAACCAATCAAATTGCTTATCTCTGCTTACCGTATGCAGAAAATGCTCATCTTCATACTTCATCAAGGCATTCACCTAATGAACGCCTACACCAAGTTTGAACATTCTACCTCAGTTTGAAGGAGGGTTATTGTGTTCCAAAGGTTTGACCAATCAAATTCCTTATCGCTCTGCTTACTCTGAGCAGAAAATGCTCATTAGTTTCATCACAATCACTTAAAAAGAACCAAAAAGTTATCGTGACCTAAAGGATCAACCTATCAAATGCTTACCTCTGTAGAAAATGTTCATCTTCGAGCTCCATCAAGGCATTTGCCTAATAAACACTTACACCAAGTTTGTGCATTCTAAATATTTGAAGGAGAGAAGGACAGACCGACAGATGGACAGACAGACAGAAAGACAGACCCATAGTCCCCTGCTATCTTCGAATTGCGGGAGACTATAGGCATTAAAAAATATGTAAGCGCATAAAATACAAAACTCAAACCATATGTCCTTATTTAGAACAGAGAAAAAAAAATTAGCAGTGAATACAACAAACAAGCAATATAAATGATGAGACAGAGAGAGATGGGGTTTAACGTCCACTGACATAAACTAGGTCATTTACTGGAGAAAACCCATGAGTTTGGACAGACGACAGTAGTATCTGTGGCCTTCTGGCCATATTTTTACCAAGGAGAGTTGACGCCTTTGTTCTATTCAATAGATTGAATAGGGTATTGTTATCCGAACAATGGGGATATGAATATAGATGAATAGGTATTGTTATAATGAACTCTTGTTTATCCTTTGACCTCGTTTGACTTCTGTTACGAGGTTAGCTGGAGGTCACGCATTGATTATTGGGGGGGGGGGGGTGAGGGGGGGCGTGGGGTTGCCCCTTTATAGACAGCCGCGTCGGGGTTCGTGCTGAGGTCAGGTCGTGCGTGGTCTAGCGTTAAGGGCTAATGTTAAGATCGACCATTGATTGGATTGCGATTGTTTATCCGGGGTTGGTTACCCCCCTCCCCCTTCCACTCAGTTACCAGCCCCCCCCCCCCCAACACACACACCTGAGATAATTTTACTTGCGAGGAACCACCCCCCCTGGATGTGATAGGTTTCGGAAAGGAGGGTTTGTACGCCAATATATACACGGGCCTCAGTTTTTCGTCGTAGCCGGACGAGGGCGAGGCCAGACAATCGCGACGAAGTTATTCGGCCAATGCAGGGATTAAACGTGCGACCTGCAGGCTAGCGAACCGGCGACTTAACCACATAGAGGCTCCTTGATAAAGGACCGCGTAGCAGACGATATGGCACGCGTGACTGACCCCCTTGTGAATGGTTGTAACGGCAAAGTGAACATACACTTCTCAATGGATGCAATCAACCATGAATTATAAATGTTTTCTGGCAATATCAACCAAAATTTAACGTTAAATTTAACATATACATATATCTCAATTTTTATGTATAAAAAGACGGAATCAGATTAAAAGCAAAGACCATTTACTCAACACAAGTTAAATCTAAATATACTAAACCATTATCAATAAATAAATGGTGAAATAGAGAGATGAAACGGAAAACTGCCGCATATTCAATTTGAGCAATAAAATAAGCGGTAACCCTAGATTACCGAGAATGCATTGCACATACAAGACGTTGTTGTCTTTAATCACTGATTATTTATCATAAATATCGAAGCCCAATAAATTCTCGAATTTTACATTCCCAAGTCTTTTTCCGTGGGTTTTTTATCTTAGAATCTTTATCAACTTGATAAAGGTACGCGCCAAACGCTCACTAACGCTGGGAGATCTAGACAATCACAGCGTGCTACCTTTCACGTTACTCGCGCAGCCAACTACAGGTGCCAATTAGAGAAACCTTACATTTTTGATATTTGTCTTAATAACGAGTAATTGCTCCACCAATCCTCAGACATTCAGCAATTCGTCGTGGCATGCTCCTAATGAACCGTCCAATCACGATTTGGGGAAATCTGACCCACTCATCTTGCAGTGCCACGGCCAATTCTTGCCGTGTTGTTGGTTGACGTTGACGCCGACGAACACGTCTTCCGATCAAATTAAACGTAGTACACTAAAGTAAAGATACCATAAACAGGAAATCTTATGCAAGAATCGATAGGAAAGCAAACATGGATAGGATAAGCCAGCAGGCGAGAGTTTTCATCAACCCATCCTTGAAGTGTCAAATTTGACAATGAACCCCTCCCCCCCGTGGTTCTGTTGGGGTGATAAGTTCTTCATCTGTGAACATACTCTTAGAGCATGTCCATGACTATTTATCATATCACAACTGCATAGGTATTTTCATTGCAATATCCCCTACTTTTTTGAAGAGTATAACGGCTTTTCATTCAAAATCAAAATAAAAGAATCTTCACTGGGTAGTTTTTGTTCTTCGAATATTGAAATCTCTTGAACGCATCTTTACATACTGCAATTACATTACCCCCCCCCCCCCCCCCGCCAAAAAAAAAAAAATCAATAAGTTGAAAAATCAACTTTAATCCACACAAAACAAGGACTATTACCTTCTCAAGAAAATTAAACCGCACTCTTAACACTCTTTGCTGTGCTGGAGCTGGGTTAACTGATAGCAAAGAACTTAAGAATTAGTAATTGTAATGGGGCTGTTCATACTAATTATTCCGTTATAAAAGGACTGATTTGTGTCAGAAGTTTAAAATATCTAGAATCAATATACTGGGCTTTAATGTCGCCTATTATTCGACTACGTGGACGTACTCCGAAATGAGTGTACTACAAAAACCAAGGTCCTGTACCTTGAAAACGTAAATCTTGATGTCCTTAGAACAATCACTGGATTAGTGAGAGCTACATCTTATAACCTATCGTAAATTGCATCAGGGTTCACTTCGATTAAAATGAGACGGTGGCCCCATAAACTAACCCTGTTTTACGAAATGGCGAATTTAGAAATTCTCGTTTGCAATTGTCGAAATCATTTATTTATTTGGACATTTATTGTTTTAAAGAAAGAATTCATACTTTATTTTTTTTTATTTTGGGGAATATTTTATACTTCTTGCCAAAATATTTTTAGACAAAACAAATTTTCAAATTGTGGAACCTTTGAAAACTAGCAGATGTCATTTAAATTTGCCCCCCCCCCCGGTCCCGCCCCTCACATGCG